CTCTTTGCTAATCATTTAATTGGTTTTAAAATTCCTTTTCGAGACTTTTTTAACTAGATATTGGTATGTTCCATGTGATACCTCTTTTTTGAATACATAAGACCAAAAAATGAGCGCTGAAATTTCGTTGTAGTATCCCTTTAAGGTATCTGTAGCAGCACCTAACGACCTTCACTGTTGTGGAATGTTTTAGTTCAGATTAGAGTTGTCTTTCGGACAGCAGCTTCAAATATTGCGGTATCTGATATTCGCTTCAAAAATTCCGATTCATTTTCGATGTGCTGGTGAAGTCACGATCGGATCACGGCGAGTTAACCCGTTGAGTGCGCTCCTTGGCATGCACCGACGCGCTGCGGAGAAGCGACACCCGCGGAGCAGACAACGCCGTCGCGCGAGTCGCGCAGTGCTTTGTGCTCCGAAAAGGACGGTGAGGCTTTACCAGCACTACATCCAGAGTTTGGTGCAACTAAACCATACTTTCTTTCAGTTTCGGTGCGAGCGCAGCGGAAGCTACAAGCGCGCGCATTGGAGCCCGTAACGGTACCCGCACTGCACGAGCCCACGCGCGAGTCAGGAATGCACAGAGCATTGGGCTCGCGCTAGCTTTGACTTCACTGGTAGCTAGCGCACGGGAACAGGGCAGGCCAACATTGAAAACATCCACATGCTCGTTCTCTCTTTTTTTTTTTTAATAGGCTGCTCAGTGGGAGGGTTCTTCGCTTAGCCTCTGCGGCTTTGGTCTCAGATGTTGCTAATGTTGTTCCTTTCAATGATAATGATGATGATGATAATGCGCCCTCGCAGTTTCGGTTTGCGTAACAGTTGCGGCGTGGAAAATACCGCGGCACCGCCACGCGCTCTGATAAGACTTCAATTTTTATTTTTTATTGCTACATCTCATCTCGGCGCAGGCATGGAGCAATTCTTCGATAAAATGACAATTTGGCGCTACATGTAGCAAGATTGCGTCCTTGGCGCAATTTGGCGCAATTGGCGCAGCACTTCCATCACTGCGTTCTTCGTCGATCGAGGATGCTACGACGTCCCGAAATTTTCGAGCTGGATCACCCCCACTATAATAGGGACTTTCCCTATTACAGTAAACTTTCGTTAGTTCGACCTCGGTTAATTCGACTTTTTGTTTAATTCGATTGTGTTCAAAAGCCCCGGCGAGCGCCCATACATTTCTATGGAAGGAAAAATTTGATAGTTCGAACTCGAGAAAACTCCGCATCGAATAATTTGTCCCGAGCGAATGCGCGCGGGCTCACTTTGCACGGCACCACGGCAGAAAAACCACCAACAAACTGCGAAACACGGACCCTTTGCTGCAAAGTCGAATGTGCACAAATATGCGTTTGCTCCTCTACGCCGTTGAGATGGACCGTAGCAAATGACACGAGCTAGCGCAACCAATCTGGTGTGGAGATAGCGCGGAGATCGTAGCACGTGGTCAGGCGCGGAGACAGCGCGTGCTCTTAAAGCGCTTTTCTGTAGCATCCAATTCATCTTGCGCGCCGGAAAGCTCAAGTTCTCTTTTCCTTTTTCTTTTTTTTTTTTGTTGTTATTTTTGTTGCGGACGCTTTGGCCGCGCGGCGCCAAAGTCAGCTCGTAAAGCTTTCTCAGAGCGCGCTCTCAGAGCGCTTTTCAGTAGCATCGTGTGGGGTCCATCTTGCGTCAGAGAGCGCGGGTTCTCTTTTCCTTTTCTGTTATTTTTCGTTGTCGCGGGTCTGGCTGTTCCGCCTCAAAATCGGCTCGTAAAACTTGCGTATTTTTTTTTTTTGGCTCGATTTTTTGGGTTTGTGACGTTTAGTTATGCTGTTCTCCAAAGCATGCTTTTAAACACGCGTTTTAAGTGCAGACGGCAGCAGATCATCCGCGGGTACTGTGGACAATAAAAGGAAGTTTAATTTTAAGCGTTTTTCTGTCCTTTTTTTAATTCAATCATTCGGATAATTCAACCAAAGTTCGAGGTCTCGTCGAGGTCGAATTAACGAAAGTTTACTGTAGTGATGCCAGCATGCATTCCTGTGATCAGTTGTATGATACCCATTACAAATCCCAAATTAACAGTTTTACCGTGGTAATACAGTTGAACCTCGATGTAACGAAGTCGGTAAAATTCGCAATTTACTTCGTTACATTGAAATTTCGCTAAATCAAATTTTGGCTTTAGCATGCGAAAAAAAAAAAAAAAATTCCGAAACATTTTACGGGTATGAAAACTCACCGAAAATGACATTTATTTAGGGGCAAAGTAGTCCGCGCGTTTTGCTTGCGCCTTGTCCGGCAGTAGCAGCGGCGTCGGCGGCGTCATACGGCGTTCGAGCGCCCAGAGCGCTTGCACGGCATCTTGCTGCCCATGCGACACCGTGTACCTCCTCAGTACGTCCATTGCGTCGAGCACTTCCCGAGTGCTCGTGATCTCGGCAGTTTCTTCAGGATGGCGTCCAAAACGTTTGCTTTCTCATCCAAAGAAAGAACTTTACGTTTCCTTATGGCAGCAAGCACGTGAGTGAACCGCCCGGTTGAAAAATAGAGCTGTTTAGTTTAGGCGGTGCCAATGTTTCCAACCGACACATCACATCACGACATCATCACATCACACATCACGCTCGCAAGACGATAATCGGTCTTCTCGGTCTTCTCCTAGATGGCACTGCCCGTGCGGTCGCGCGGTCGCGCCATCATGTCGCACGTCGCTCCCCCGCTGAAGTTGGCTCCCGCGCTACACGCGGTACAGTGGACTATGATGATCAGTGAATGTCAGTGGTGATGCTGTTATGCCGTGTTAACTTTTTGCTCGGCATTTTCTGGCCAGCCTCGCGAAATCCGCTTTGCCGCATGCCTCGCCGGCGCTACCGGCGCCGCATCCTCGGGCAGCCTAGGAACGTTGGAAGGCCTGTCTCCGTGAAGTAACCTATCAAGCGCTCGCGTTTGCGCATAATTTTTTTTTTTTTAACCACAATTTTTTTGCGAAGTTGTTTTTTAGAGTTGATTTATTTATAGCCTTCTATGGCAATGGCGCTTCGTTATATTGAAATAGCAGCAAAATAGACTTCGTTATATGGGGACTAAAAATACATGGGGTCTATGGGCAAGAAATTATGAAAAATAAAATACTTCGTTAAATCGAGGATTTCGTTACATTGAAGTTCGTTATATCGAGGTTTGACTGCAGTCAAATTGCCCTTCAACTGCTGCAAAGCTGTGCCTATAAACTGTCAAATTTGGGTTTTGTTTTTTATTACTGCTAGTAGACAAAGGTTAGCAGGATTGATGTAAGCGTGTTAATTATGACCAAGGAGAAGTCGATGTGGAGTACCAACTTAAACCTCTGGATCAAGATTCTCCAAATTGGGGACCTGTCGCAGTCACAAGGGCCAGAAAGTAAACAAAACAAAAATGAGGAAATACTAAATAAATAAGCCTAAATAAGCATTTAAATACAAAACTTAAAACTACAGAAAAAATTTTAAAAACTCTAAGGACGATGAATTCATATGCAGTCATTGCCATTCACCAGGCATAAAGGAACCAGGCATAGAGACCTCACCAGACATATATCAAAGTTCACATATTAACGTGGGACAGGAGGTTAAAGAGAATGGTAGATCTGATGATGACAATATGCGAGAGTTATGACACAGATCATAGTTACACGAACATGAAACGGTGAACTATGAATACAGGCAATGGCAATGTACAACGAATATTATACTGAAAACCCACGTTTCGATGCAGATTTTCTCCTATGCTTTTTGATATCTTCACCTGCGCTTTTAAAGCATGTCACAGTGCCGCTTTTATGTAACTTTTTTGCGCGCTTGTTTTTGCGCTTGTAGCAGCGGGCCCCGTGACAGGCTCCTGGATAGACTAAGGCAACCCGCGGGCCGGACGGAGCACCTCCGCAGGTATGTTTGAAGACTCCTGCTCTAGATGATAAAGCGGGGTAAACTGGAACTACACAGTCTTCTTACGCGACACGAACATCGGCACTGTCTGAACCTCATAACTCGCATAACTCCTAAAGATTACATGCATTATCACAAACATTGTGCATGCAATGTTGCATACACAACATTACATGCACAATATTGTGCATGCAATGTTTGTCCATTCGAGACTCAAAGAAAGAATAAAAACACTTAGGGACAAGGACAGACAGAGCAGTTCTTTCAACTAACAACAAACATTTACTGACGTCTCCTTCAATAGATACTATCTCCCTCCCAACTTCTTCAACTAAATAAGATACATAAAAAAAAAAAATATATATATATATATATACTGTAAATAACTTAATTTTCGCAAAAACCCAATTTTTGCGAATTTCGCGGCTCGCCTACAATTTGCGAGAAATAAGTCCCGCAAACAATTACGGTAAGGCGTAAACACACTGGAATCGAGAAAATTAGAACCAGCGAATTATTCCAAAACTTCGGCTTTGACCTAAATCGCGAAATATTGAGCCCACGAAAAATAAGTCGTCTACAGTGTGTATATATATATACACACCCTTTCGTTTTTTGTCCATTGCATGCACAAGCATGCATACAATGCATGTTTGTTCAAACGGCACAAACGGCAAAACTGGACCACCCCTGCTGTACCCTTCACCGTTCCCAACCAGGGTACTCGCCTCGAGCAGCAACAGGAGCATCCACCATTGTGTTAGTGCTCCCCCCCCCCCACGACATCCCACGCTCAGTTTCAAATAGTGTAGGTTCTGCGAGAAGCTGTCTGTGGCCAACAAGTTTACCGAAGTTGCCGCTGGGAGAAAATATGTTTGCAACCGCCACGACCACATCCTTCTTGCATCGTCAATTACTGCAAGATAGAATGAACAGGACCCAACTGCAAATTCTATAAGTCTATATTTTCATTAAAGCGTAGTGTTGCTAGCCAACCCCAAACTGCCGAAACAGCCAACGCTCAACGTAGAACTTGTGACGGTCTCCCCGGCAGCAAAGCGGACTGGGCTGCTGTCGCGCACTCACCCACGAGCCACAGGCAGTAGGCAAGGTCCCAGTGCTGGCTCGGCGATCCCTCGTCTTCTCTTCGAGCCATCCTCTCCGCTGGACAGATAAAAGCATGTGCAATGCCTTCAAGCCTCCGGACGCCAAAAGCTTGTCGACAGCACCATGGCAGAAGTCAAACTAGTGCCTTGTCCCACATTATTAATGCAATAGCATTAACTGTCCCAGAGTGGAGCCGGCAGCGTTTGTAACTGCAAAAAACGTGCAAAAAATTCCCAGGAGCCGGCACCGTCTGTAACCGCTGTTACGACGAAACAATGCGAAAGAAATTCCCAGCAGAACGGCTCCTATTGGCCTCGAGATCGACCTAGAGGTGGCGCTACGGTCGCGCTATCATCATCATCAAAGCGGGGATAGGAGAACGGCCGCCCCATCGGCTCTCCACGTTCGCGCGCGAGACGGCGTAGATTCTTGCGTTTATTTTGTCGCATACTATCGGTGGGAAAACAATTCTAGCGGAAAAGGATGCGGTACTGTTTGGTGCTTCAGTGAAGATCGAATCGTGTTGCCAGCGTGAGGCCTAAATTTATATAATCGCTTCTGTGGGTGCGTCGTCTGCTCTAGGCAGACGTTGGAAAGTATGGATCACGACTGATGCTTGTCTCCGGCTGAACTGGAATATTTATGTTAAATATTCGTTTCTTTTAAAATGGGTGTATCGGTTCATCAACGTGGGAATTAAAAAAAAAACAATAAATTCCAACCCAGATAACATAATACTGGTACTGTGGGCTGTGAAATCGCAGCTTCTATGCTGTTTTTTTAATTTCTAGCTTTTTCAGTAATATAATTATTTAAAAAAAGATAAGTTATCGCTGTATTGGAAATTACTATGCTATTGAGCTCCTCTGCCCTTTTACTGTGCCATAGTGTGGGTAAGGTTTTTTTGGAGTCTGAACAAATCTACTGCGTTGCGATGAGGAGGGTGTGTCTCTTCTAGTTAAGATCTGGGGGGCTATGTTCGACAAATGTTTCGTTTCTCCTAAAAACAAACGGAAGTGACAGAAGTGACGATATCGCCTCTGATTGGTTAGAGGCTCAAATGACGAAAGTTCCCTCTTTCGTCATTTGAGCTTCTAACCAATCAGACGGGATATCGTCACTTCTGTCACTTACGTTTATTTTTAGGAGAAACAAAATATTTGTAGAACATAGCCCCCCTGCAAACTGCACGGTTGGCAGGACAACTGAAATAAGTGAAACAAACTGTTCTAATATATCTGCCGTGACTGTAATAAACGGGTGCAACCGAGCAACGCAGCAATGTTACTGTTATTAAATGCTTTTCTCGGTAGTGTGGGTTCACCCGCTTCAATTTTCTTGGCGAGAGCCGCGGATGTCAAGAGGCTAATACTACAAATTTTCTTGCATCAAACACAGTAGATTCTGCAACCCCAACAGACTACGCGCACCACGACACAGACAGCATCGGCCGCACTGATACTCTTTTACTGATGAGGGCTCGACCTTCACGAGACTTTGCGATCACCCTCTGCTTTCACCTAGCGTATATCGGGACTGGGCAGTTCATCGATTAACTTTCAGATTATTCAAGTAATGCTTTAATTGCAGTTTTTTTTTTCTTTTTTTTTTTTTTTTTTTGCCGGTTAATTGGAGTTTTGTGCTGGAGAAAGTCAACAAGGAGTAAAAAATGCCTGCTTTAATATTTCTGACGTCTTTATTTCTTTTGTGACAGGCTTGCACGGTAAACCACTTCAGCGTGCTTGTCATTTCTCCGAGGGTGATTATACCGTTTAAATAATAATTTAAAAAATATTTCACTTTAAGAGGCTTCCCGTGTTCATATTTCTGTAGGAGTCACAACGTGAAGTTTAGAATGGGAATGCAATATGTCATTTATGACATAGTAAAACCAGTAAAAAAATGCGGTTTTAACGCCTTTCACGCATATTGCCGGCGAAAAATGAACATACGGATTTATGGATTGATTGTCTATTAAAATATAGCGATCAGTCGGGTTAATTTTCTAATCAAACCACAGACCGACTCAACATTCAATGCTTTATGAAAGCCACGGTTTGTGCGAGATAAAAATACGTGGGGACAGCGATTGTATACAAACCAACGCACTAAGATTATGGAATGTTCCGACTTAATAATAATCGCTTTGCTGAATTTCTACGCATGAGAAACGATACAATACAACCTTTAGTAAGAAGAAACGGCAACAAAAACATAAAACATTTAATAAGGAATGTCAAGCTCAGCCTCAAACGGGCTTGCGTCGTCGAGATCCATGCTCTGAGCGTGCGCCCGTAGCAGACGACGCACGGCGGTATCCCCGCTTTCGCGCGTTTCCAATTTTGGCCGCACGGTGGCGACACGGTTCGATCTCGAGGCGAATATAGCCGGTGGCCGGGACGCGTATAGTTCTAAGAAACGCCGCCCCACAGAGAAGCCCTCTCCATGGCGCAGCGGTCCGATCGCCGGTAATAGGGAGAGGGTGGTGGGGCTCGGGCGCCCGGCCGCTGCAGCCTCAGCAGAGGTCGCCCGGCCAGATTCAGCGCGGCAGCTTGTAGGAATATGCTACAAACACGAATGCTTTCGCATTCCTACACGTTAGCAGCCTTAATGTCCTCCTGCAATTTTAAAATTGTAGACTCGTTCAAAGAGAATTTAAAATCGCGTCACTCTCGGTGAATATGAATTAATGAGGCATTTCCAAGCCGATAGTGACTGTCACGAAACAATTTATTTTACGCAAATGTTTGTAGGTGTGAACTCAAATGGGTTCAGAAAGAGTTAGTGAACATTCGTAAGTGCAAACTGAAATAAATGCGGCGTAAACGTTTGTAGGCGTGATCTCAAATATGTTTAAGAAAAGTTTGTAAACATCGTCGATGTGAATTCGAATAAGCCAAGAAGAAGCTCGTAACTTCCACCTGGCACTTTGGGTGAGTGAAACACGGCGAGCATAGGAGCCCTGGCCTTGTGGACGGGCGTATGCCAATGTCCTTGTCGGTTTGTCCACGCGCAATCGTGCCCAACACTTCTGTACATCACAGTCACAAAAATGGTATTGCTGGATGACAGGCTGTAGTACCCATCTGGAAGACTGCGGCGTGCTGGACGAGTTTTGACAGAAGCTTCTTTACACGAACCCAGAGGAGCACCAGAACCTGCAGCGCGTCAGCAGGGCGAAGTCCCTGCAGCTTTCGTCGTATGGAATTAAGAACCGCATGACAACATACCAGCACACAAACAAAAACAGAACCAAGCGCAACAATAAACTATCTTCAAATTGCTCGCTAAAAAAAAAAAAAAAAAAAAAAAAGATTTTGTCAGCTTAAATTTTTTTTAAGTAAAAAATGTCCGAGCGAAAAGGCGCTCGGCTTTTTCAGTTTGCGAATTTCACGGATTTTTGGCTGGAGTCTACTCGGAAAAGCGTTGTCTGGCAACAACTTTTTTTTCTTTGACAAGCAAAACGAAGATGGCACATTGTTTACTTTATCTACATCAAAAAAAAAAGTATATCGGTTTGACGAAGCAAAAAGAGGAGAGGGCAACAGGTATAAAATTAGAAAATATATAAAAATTCCTACACGCACAAACACAACAAAGGGCATACTTAAGAAATAAGGGGGAAGACGGTCTGCGGCCAAGACCCGGACCTAGTAAAAAATATACTTGGGACAGCCTTAGATGCGACGCTGTTTCTGTTACCCTAGGGGGTTTAGCCACACCGCATAATTTCCTGTATCTAAACGCACTAATCCAAATATCATCACATGTATTCATCCACATAACTGGGGCAGGGGAGAACTAACTTCAGAATGTTGTAAGTATCTTTCAGCCATACGCACCGCCATCTAGGGAGGGACCCTTCCCGTGAGAGCAACAGCCAGACCAGGTCAAAACCAAGATATGGCAAAAGAAAAAAGAAAAAAGATTGAGGTACATCTAAGCACTTTTTATGAGTTGTGAATGCGAAAGCATATACATCAATCTTGATGTAGATGGTTCAGTGTGTTGGTTTTTAATTTATGATAAGGAAAGAGGGACATTGAAGACAAACAGACAAGACAGTCTTTCGACTTCCGCTGTTGGTGCGCTGACAGACAGACAGCGCCATAATGCGGCCAATCGTTAAAACGGACGCGCAACGTCCGTTTCAACGACCGGCCACTGTATGGCGCTGCGTGACGCAGCCGACAAAGGCACATTATTTTTATTTTTATTCGGCCTCCACTGAAATATGACCGTTCCGTCCGTTCACTAGTTCATTTTGCCGCAAGATTCTTGGCTTCACGTGCAAGAAAGCAGCAGGTACTGTTCCCAACTGACGCACTGAAGGTTCCAGTACTTCTCGAGGTTCCTGTCGCGAAACTTCTGTCAAAAGTCATCTAGCACGTTGCATTCTGTCCTGCACATCCATCCAGCCTCTCATCGGGCAAGACAAAGACCCAACAAGGTTGGGCAAGACCTTTTTGCATCTGTGGTGTATTCAAGTGTTGTGTGCCAGTGCGCGGGGACGAGGACATAGGCAAACGCCCCTTCGCAAGCCAGGACTCCTTCGCTTCTATTCCGACCCTCCTCAGGCAGGATTGCATTTGTGTTATGCCTTGGTTTAGTAAAGGTAGTGGCACTTCGCACTAGGCCTCCTACGGCATACTGTCTTGCGTGGCATGCGACAGCAGCACACAATGATGATTTTTCGTATTAGCGCGGTAGTGCCTCAACCATAGCAACAAACATTGCATTAGCTCTTGAACGACAGTGACACTGTGCAGTCGGTAAGTGGTTTGGGCGATCCTCGGTCCCTTTCCGCCTTGTACCCGCCCCCTTGTGTGGATCTGCTGGGAGGCTGACAATCCGCGAACGTGTCGTTACGAGATCAATCCGTCGATGCATCGGTCCGTTGAGTGAATCGGCTGGCACAGTCAGTGACTTTTTGGACGTAAAAATTAAAAGAGCAAACGCACTAATCAGGAAATTAATACACATGTTCCCATGGGAGCTTGGCAGAACTAGCGCTTCTGAACGTAAAAGCCGGGAAAATGCAAAAACCAGGAACGTACCAACGAGGTTCCACTGTACGTCCTGCACGACTACAGTGCAATCCACTTATAACGATAAAACCACAAATTTCATTCGTCATAACCGATTATCGTTGTATCTGGACTATAATCGGATCGTTTCTAAACAGGGTGTCTACCAAATTGTTTTTTTTAAATTCCCTAACTTTTCCAGGTTTTCCCTGACTATTTTAATTAAATTCCCTGACCCACAACTACCGACACCAAAACACAATATATGATAGATAGACACTATTCACAACGTAAAATATTTTATTTAAGTTAGATAAAGCAAACTTTGGAAGATGTTTAGGATACAGCATTGACCCGGGTTTACTGTTTCAGGGAGTTTGGTCCCATTACCTGATCAGTACATCCATTTGTTCTCTTTGAGTTACTTTGTCCAGTGACTCATCAAAAGCAGCCACCAGATATGGCACACTAGAGACTTGCTAGCAACTTCTCCTGAAAGTATGGGGCGATACCATGACATATGGTATATCCCACTTTGTCTTTCCCAAGCTGCATTTTTCTGGCGGCTTACACATGGGGAACATCAATAGAAACAGCGAGGGAGACACTGCCACTGAACAGAAAGACCCACGAGTTGTTATAGTGTTCAAGCACCACATGATCCCTGGCCTTTGTGACTTCCTTCTTCAATAAAAAGCCACCACCCACGTCTTCACAGAGGGGCTAAGAGCTTCCGGGGCAGTGGTTAGACGCATTGCCGGAGCCCTACAAGCACTATTGCTACCTCCGGACAAAAAACACCCGTTGCTGTCGAGGAAGGCAAGTCCACATTTGTCGCAGTTTTGAAAAATATGATTGGGCTCTGGGAAACGCTTTGCAGATATTTCATATCAGCTTGATGCTTCTTACCCTCCAAATGAGTAGTAATCGCTTTATTCCCCATGTTGCTCACAGAGAACTTCTTGCAGCACTTTGTGCAGTGAGCACTGTTTGGATCCTTTGGAATGGGCCAAATCCAACTTGCATTCGTGGATATGTCCGGGTTCGTCCAGTTGAGGCTGAAGGAGCACTTTCTCGACAGCGACATAGTCACTTTCACATATCTCCACTTCCAGAAAATAACAATATAGAAAGGCCAACCCAAAGCCACAAACGCAAGTGGCAGAGCTCGTAGAGTGCAGGCATCCAGGTTGAGTTTACGGGAAAGCGCAAAAACACCATATCTGACAAACGAATGAATAGCTAGGCGTGTGCCTCCGAGAGGGTAGATGAATGAACGACGGCTGTTCTCTTTCGAGTGAATGGTGAGTCACGTCACCCAGTATCTGCTAGAGTAACCGTTTCTCCTCGTACTAGAGCAACACCACCAGACTAGAGTCACGAACTAAACAAAATGGCCGCTGATACCTGCTTCACTAGTAGCTGTAACTCTTTAGCCGCCATACTTTAGCGTTGCTACTCTAAAGTGTAGCATATTTAGTGACTTTAGAGTGTACTAAAAGAATGAGCCGCCAGCTTCGCACATGCTCACGTGTGAAGCGCAGCGCGTGAAAAATTGGGCGGGTCGCATCGCGCCTATGGGGTCGCGACGCCGCACTTGACTGCGCTCGTGGCTATGCCTGCCCATGCCTGCCGCTTCTAGCGCAAGCGGGATAGCATGGGATAAATTCCCCGACTCGGCAGTCTTTTTCAAAATTTCCCTGACAATACCCCGAGTTCTCCAGGTGTCTTAAAATTCCCTCACAATTCCCGGTCTTCCCGGTCGGTAGACACCCTGCTAGACTAGAAACTGTAGACACTGATCGTTATAAGCAATACGTTGTTATATGTGGTATCGTTATAAAAGAATTACACTGTATTAGTATGTGCCTCAAACGTAAAACTAATTGCCATTGTTCAGCAAATCCCAGACAAAACAAATTCCTGATGTAGCAAACATATTTCCAATTCCCACTGACTTCATCATTATCGGATTAGACCCTATTCCTCCTTTCACTAAACCCAAAATCACTTGCAGTGTAGAACACATTCGCATCTGTTCCTTCGTGATTACATTCGCATTCACCTTGCACAAACAAATTAGTTATCCATGCATTCAATGAACAAACAAACACCTCTGCTTCCCAGATGTTGTGCAAACCCACGGGGATACTTCTTGAATGTGGTATAAAGGGCTGCCTCCCTACCTTCGTAGATCTGATCCCTCAGACTGGTCAACCTTGCCCTGTAGCCGCTCACATTGGCCAGCCTCTCCAGGATCTCCGTGATGCGCATGCGCACCTGCGAGAAATCGAGACAATCAATCCGACCAATCGGGGAAGTTTCCTGGGCCATTTCAAGCTTGGACTGCACTCTTAAAGAATATTGATGTTCCTCACAGTTGAAGGAATTCATGAAAAAATAAAAACCCCATAGCTAGAAAGAAATAAAGTAGACCAAACAAAATTGAAAAGGAACATCAATCTATCTAAGGAATATTTAACTTCTTCTAAAAAGTATTCACAATGGTTGCAGTAAAATGTTACATTTAAACTCGAGGTTGCTCGAGTTTATAAAACCTGCGGATGCACAAATACTTGAAATTTCCAAACATGGATTGAACGTTACTTATCCTTCTATTCATATCAGACTCGGGAACTTTCTAGCCGGTATTTGCCGGCGAATATTCGGCGGCAGCTGAATTATTGACTAAGTATGTGACTGAACATTTAACCGGCAAAATATTTTACCATTTGGTACCGTACGATATTGAAGTGCATTATGGCACTTGCAGAAGCAACAATCTGGATGGTGAATACGATATTAAAGGGACCATGAAATAACCTTTTTACTTTTTCCAGATAACTTTTACATTAAACCATCAATGTTCACTGAATGCCGAACAGGCATCCGTTTTCGTCTCGGTTTATTAACTTCTACACAAAAAATTAATTAAATATCGACTTCTTTCTCTCCAACTGACCGCAAAACAAGCCGTTTTGTACGCTATTTCCGTAACCGGAAGTTCTCTCGGTAGTAGGAGAATGGGAGCGTTAGCGGCAACGAGTTGGGGTGCGCCAGTATGTTTTACTGCGCTGATGTCACCGACGTATTTTCTCAATCGGCGCCCCTCATCGCCGCATCGCAGCTGAACGAAATTCAATGAGATATGTTGCGCTACAGCGACAGCATGGGACTAGTCCCATACACCGGTATGCCTGTTGGGAAGTGCATTGAGTCTTCCGGTGAAGACTCCAGAAGTCAACCCAACTGTCACTGTTGGCAAAAGGGCCGGCCCGTGTCAGTCGTTTGCAAAGCGACGTAGATGGAAACAAATTGCCTCGGCGTTTTTCGCGGCGTCGGAGATGCAGGAGCGAGCCGACGTTAAAAAAGATACGTTTGAACTACGAGTGTCAGCAAGAGCCACGTAAATACCTGTTTACACTTGGAGCGGATGCGCGCGCTTGATGGAAGTGCTGTATTCGTGCTGTTGGTAAGCGCTTCGGCACCGTTCTTTTACGATTGCAACTCGATACTGACGCGACACTCGGCAAAGAAAGGTTGGACCGGCGTTGCACGTATACCTCCCACGAACTGTTATAGCACGACAGTGACATGCAGTCTGTCAGAATAAAAATGGCATACCAATAACAAAGTGTACATACCGTGTTACGAAGGTAATCCATAAGGCGTTTATTTCAGCTCTATATCACACAAAACAAGAAGATAGAATCGACGAGAGTCCCTTTTCGACGAGTGTTCGTCAACACTGCCTCGGAAAACAAGGGGAAGAGATTGACCTCACCTCTTAATCTAAAATTGAGGTCAGCGATCAAAATTTAACACGGGAAGGGTCCACAAGGGTCGCGCGGGCATATTCCATTCAGCACGCCAGCCGGTCCTAGGCAGACGGTCTTGCGACTAAGCAACGCAGCGCCGAGTCGGAATGCCTGCTAGGCCTATATCCTGAGCAGCTCGCTTCGTCGGAGTCGGTGGATCCAGCGTTCTTGTTCGTCGTGGTCTATTTTAAGTACTGTTTTCTTGCTGCTTGAAGTCGGCACGCGCGAGAAGAACATGTAGAAAAATAAACGTTCAGTCAGTCAGAGTTTTGAGCGGAAGGAAAACAAAGAAAATAAACGTTCGTCGGTCACCGCCACCCAAAGTAACTGAAGTCGGCCCTGCCTACAGTGTTCTAGAGGGTGTAGTGGCAAGAGTGGCGCCCGCTTACAATGAAGCACATGAAGACGGTCGATGTAGATACCGCGAGTGGCGCTGGAGTTCTGTGCCCTAGGAGAATTAATGGCACGTGTGCGATGAACGAAGAAGACGACGAGGGTGACGCGGTACGCTTCTCCGAAATGTAGCACCGTAGAACTTCTTTCGCAGCTGTTCAGCCTGCAGCCCTAGTGATAGCGTTGCTGAGCGATGTGTCAGTACTGGGGGGGGGGGGGGGAGTCAATATTAATTAATCTCCCTCAAAACACGGGAATATTTCAAATAGAGGATAGCACACACTCTAGAGGCATTAGTTCAAAGGCAGAACTACAATTTACTATACTGCGTTTCACCTTATGTTGTACCGCAGCGAAGGCTAGAAGCGCGAGCTCATAGCGTTGGCAGCTGCTCTTAATTCCCGAGAGCGTGTGCCGCCGAGATGTGCCCCAGAGCAAAGAGCTCGCGCTTGTAGCCTTTCCTGCGGTACATTATAAGGTGAAACAGAGTATACAGAACAACACTAGCAGTTTTTTCGCACTGCGAAAAGCTCCAGTCAAACCACAGTAGTAAGCGCCGAACAGTGCTGATGATGGGGCTGACGGGGGCGCGCTCCTAGGGCACAGAACAGCAGCGCCATAATGTCGTCTACGCGCAAAATCTTCACAAAGCGGCCGCCGCTCTTGCCACTACAACCCCCTCTAGAACACTGTAGCCCTGCCCTACTGCGCACGCACAGTAGTTGCTTCGTTTACCACACGATACATGGCGCTTGGCTCTCAGCATTATCAAATTTGGCAATTTTCGCCACGCATCTCTAATTATGCTACAAAATGTGGATCTGAATATTATTTAACAAAACTTTTAGGAAACATTCGCCGGCTATTTATTGTTTACGATCGCGGTGCTGGTGAGGTAGGCTCTTACCCAATAGGCGACGTGGATTCGGCTGACGTGCTCCGTTTCCGCGGATGCATCGTAGTGAAAAGGCGAAGGAAAGAAGGCGCAAAAGAGTCCAGTTTTCTTTTAAAAGTTCTATAGCAAATAATTTTTTTTGGCTCCCTATTTTTGTGTTTTTGTGTTTCTTTTCACACCTTTTACGACGTGTGGTGGATGAAACTCGATTTTAAAATTATTTCATGGTCCCTTTAACTCTTACTTTTACAGTAATACTTTGTTAACTCGAACACGGCTATTTTGAAATTTATTTATTTTATTTATTTAAAGAATAGTGCGGCTCACATCTGTGAGCCATAGCAGGGGTGGTTACATAATGGCATGATGTGATGTACTTATGAGCACTTTCTCGTGGCGGAAGCGATTGCTTCAACAAAAATATCAAGTGATGGGAGGGTGACTATTTCATTCGTCAAAGAATTCCATTCACTGATTGCCCGAGGAAAAAAAGAATATTTGAAGACATCGTGCTTAAGAGGATATTGTTTAATGGCCCTAGTATGGTTCAGTCTAGCTGATCCGCGTGATGAAAATTGTATGTATCTATCACTACTGACATTAAAGATTCCATTAATAAAAGAATATAAATTTCGCAGTCTGTCTATTTTAGCTCTAACCTCCAATGGCGGGATGTTAGCTTGCTCTAGTAAGCTCGAGGCAGACACACTATATCTGAACTTATTAAATATAAACCTTCCAGCCAGTCTTTGTACGCTTTCAAGTTTACTAATTTTTTCTGCGTGTGCGGATACCATACTGTGTGTGCGTACTCTAGAATAGTTCGTACAATTGATTGGTAAACAGTCTTCTTTGTTTCGTTATCCGCAAATTTTAAGGTGCGTCTTAGTGTGTATAATTTTGCCCTGGCCTTATTCGTTATGTCATCGATATGCTGGTTCCAAAGAAGTTTACTGGTTATTGTCACTCCAAGATACTTATAGTGGTCAACAAATTTAATGGGAATCGCATCTATTGAATAGCAATATTTCAAGGGATTCTTTCGTGGTTAAGTTAAGTGGTTAAGTCGTAAAATTTCCTTGTCACGGAATAAGCTCCCATTGGCACAATGCATTTTGTCCTTGCTTATCTCGAAAGGTTTTCATGACGGACTTCCGATATCTCGAAATCTCGTCAGCAAAAATCGGAGAAAAACACAATAAACAAAAACTGCTGAAAAAAAAAAAAAAAAAATGTGTGTGGCACATAAAAAAAAAGAAAGACAAAAAAAAACATGCATAAAGCGCAAGAAAACAATTTAAAAAAATAACCGCCGGTGCGGTGTACGCAGACGCAAAGAAATGTGCAACTGAAAAACTTTTTTTTTTGTTTTGTTTTGTTTTTACGATTTCCATTTGGACAAGCTAATCGCTGGCAAGCCGGGATGCCTGGTGTTCCATGCAACCCTTTCCCTTGAGCGTTTTGTTCCGCTGTCTTTCGTTTTCTCTTTGTTCCTGGGTTCTTCCATTTCCCTTCCCAGTCCAATCCTGGGTCGTCGTGAGTCTCGTGTTTCCCATAGGTGTCTCGTTTCGAGAGTTGCTGCTCTTTGTTGCTTGTCCGTCATTTTTTTTTTGGGGGTGTTTCGATTGTCTTGCGGCACCACATGAGCAAGGGTGAAATGTTCAATTCGGTCATCGGTTGTGAATCCTCTGATGTTGCTGGCGTGCGACTTGATTGACCGTGAAGATGGCGGAGCCCGAACAGTGCAAATCACTGACGCTTGAGAGCAAAGTTGCCCTCATCAGAGAAGTTGATGTTGCCGCGATTGTTAGAAGTTTTATTTAGAACAGAGTGCGATCAGAGGTAAAAAGTTCCAGTACTTTGCTTATCTCGAAATTTCGCTTATCTCCAATTTTTTCACAGCTTTTATGACTTCCGAGTTAACGAGGTATTACTGTATAATATTCAGCTCACTAATGAAAACTATCATAGTAGAGTAATCTTTCGTTATAACGAAGTCAACGGGTTGGCAAAAAATTCGGTAGAAACGGCAATTCGATAAAAGCATTAGAGCCAAAAAAACAATGCCAGCAGCCTTGAATGTGGATGGGAACACTGCAGAAAACTCCGACTATATTTAATCTTATGAACACCTCACGGCAGCTTTACCGAGTAAAAAAGTGATTAAGTGGAGTTTGCCGATAACTTCATCCGGTCATCAGTTTTCCTTGAACTGCTCCAGGCATTGCAAGAACACTGTCACCGCCACTGCACTCCACTTTGTTTCGAAGCAGCCGTAGGATGTTTCGCGTCTCCACAGTCGTTGGCGTTTCCCCGAGATGCCTTTCCGACGTCGCTTCGTTTTACCTTGGCCGCACACAAGGTCCACAATTGCAGCATCCATGGCAACAACGGGAATGTCCGCATTGAAAAGCACGAACGAATCAAAGTTATCCTCGATTGCTTTGACAACATGCTTTCACAAACTCCTGTAGAGATCATTGCAGCTATGGAAATCGTGCACCAGCTCGGCAAGCGTGCTAGCGAGAAAAAATCCGACGTGCGCAAAGCAGTTGGCAATCTTTCATCTTTAGGTAGCGGGCACGCTGTCTCCTGCATGAGAGGCTTCTCGAACCTGTCCAATAGGCCTTGCTTGTTCTGCGAAATGGTGGACAGTGTTACAGCCGATGCTGGAATGTCAAACTTTTTGGCGATTTTGGACTGGGCCAGCCACTTTTCTCAACCTCGCAGATCTAAGCGACTTTCGGTAAACACTCCCAATCTCCCATACGACGCACGTGTGCGTGTAGAAGGCTACAGGCACGCGCGTTGGGGGCTCCTGAGGGGATGATCTCCTCCGGGCTCCATCGCTCCCTTGACCCGATTCCGACAGGAGCTGGGCAGCGTCGGCCGCGGGGGCTGTGAGTAGCATCGGAACATTGACGCTGCTTCCTACCTGCGTCCCCGCGTCGGCTCATCCGCATCGGAGACGGCGCTCTGCCAGCTCAGCACGCTCTGCCCTCCGTCACCCGTTTACTCCATTTTTCCAGTTTGCCCCGGTGAAGAAAGGGGAGGGGAAGCAAGGGTGTCCGTGCGCCTCCGCGTAGGCTTCCGGGTTTTCTACAACTCGGCCTTCGTAATAAGTGTGGTCAGCCGCCGATACACTTCAAATAATCCGATTAAAAACCGTGTATTTCGGTCTGGACCACGTCGAACTTGGATAAAAGCGATAGTTCGAAAAAAGTGATTTTGTTATAACGAGGAATTACTCTATTAAAGAGCATCGTAAGATATTGAACACTGCTAGGGGTGTGCGAATATTCGCCATTCTCGAATAACGAATCGAATATTACCCTATTCGATTCGTTAATCGAATCGAATAATATTTTTCAAAAGTTTTGAATATTTTTCAAAGAAGTTTCGAATAGTCGTTACGGTGTCGCGCCTCGCGATTCCCTTCACAGGCGTCCCACAACGCGCCGGCACGCCTGCAATATGTGCCCGCAAGATGGAAATACGTACCCTCTTCTCCTAGACAATGATTTTCATCACCGGCAACAGCCGTCCCTCTCCGTACATACGTTGCTGTTGCCTCCATTAGGGACCACTATGTTAAGTATAACCCGCATGTAAGCGATTTGCCGAGAGACGAGACAGGCGACGTCGACCCGCTTCGCTGTCATTCGATCAGTCGCGCGATGAGGCAAGCCGCACGGAAGTGGCGTGAGCAAGTGACCAAGGTGATGAGGACGTTTTCTAGAAATCCAAACACCGAGCAACGCGACGAGCGACAGTGAGAAATCTGTCGCTCGCTGCTGACTCTCGTCGTCGCTGTCGCTCGTCTTGTCGCTCGCTAAATCACTTGCATGCGGTTCAGCATTTAGGAACAACTTTCGCACGAGATTGCTTGTGCACTCTTTCGGAAAGCAAGTGGTGGAGACGTTTCAGAACTGGTTGCAACGGTACCGCCATTCTGTGTAAGCGAAGTAAAAGTGGTAGAAGCAGGAAGTTGTTCGAAGAGAAAGCACACTAGAATTGGGAAGTTTTTCGGCCGCTCCTATGCAATCAATTGAATAAGCCACAACAGCTGCTGGTGTCGAGTCTTTCCCAACACTTTCCATGGTTTTTCCACTTGTTCAGTGTGTGAAGATGTTGCTTTTTGAGGGCGCAAGTAGGTCAAGACAATGAGTTTTCCCAGAATCTTCTCAGATCAGTGAAAATAATGTTCCTGGACGTAAGTGCAGGCACATGATGCCCTTACACATTCCTTGATCCTCAATTCAAGGACATCTGCTACAAAAAGGAATAAAAAGATAATGTCGAGTTCCTATCATGGACAATGCTTCAGGATCTACCAGGCTCAAGCGAGCTGTGATTTTATGTTCAGCATCTGCGTGAACCGTGATATTATGTTTAGCATTCTAATATTTTATTAGCTTTTGTCTTTATTTAAATATATATAGTTGAACTCTAGTTATTATTGTCAAGCTGCGATTTTACAAGGATTTTAAGAAATGTTTTGGAACAATAAAAATCAATTTTTTAAACTCTTTGCTCTACTTTAATAGCTGTCTACTTACTATTCCGAAACTATTCAAAAATTATTCGATTCGTATTTGTATTCGATTCGGTCCCACAATTATTCGATTCGTATTCGATTCGGTTTCAAAAATCACTATTCGCACACCCCTAAACACTGCAGTATGTATAACCTCATTAATGTTTTCAATTAATGCATGTTCCGAGCCACTATGTTTACAAACACAGGTCTCCATAAAATACCCATAGGAATATGTTACTTCTCTATTTGTTGCATACGGCTTCCCAACTTGCATGCCTAAAAACTGCTATTGAACATGGCTAATGTGATGTATCGGCTGCCCGGTTTCAGCGACCTTCTTCGTTTTGCTCCACCTGCCATTTTTTCACCTCCTTGCACCGCGCGTCTTCCCTGTCCTCGTCCGGCGTACATGACCTAGAACTAGGGTCGGAAGGAATTAAGGCTTTTGCAACAGACATTCATCTTTCCAATTTTTTCTCCCACACGTGCTTGCTCTTCTGCCATGCCCGGTGGCTTGGTTCCCCAGTTCTGTTAGTTTCACTTTGAGTCGCATTCATGCACCATGCCACCGGAATCTCGGTGTGTGCACACATCAAACTACACCACTTTGCAGCGTAGCTTGTGCTGACGCGGGACAGCATTTGGGGTTAGCTCAATCTGCTCAGGAATTTTGCCCACTTTTATAGGGCGACATTCCATGATTACAAACATAATTGAATCCTAGTTTCAAATAAGAGCTGCCCAGACAAGACCGACTCGCATTTTAATTCATAGGGACTTCCACGGCTGTGGAAGTCCACGTAATAGAAACTGCCGCGAAAAAGCTGCCTCCCATCTCGTCCAGGGGCTCCCGAAAGCACCGTCGGTTCAATTTTCCAGAATCGCACGTCTTTTCGTTGCAGACCTCCGAAAAACGTAACAATATGTTGCACCGCTACTTCAGGCGGAAAATTCACAAGCATTTGGCGACGGTCGTCACCGCAACCGCGCAGTCGCCCGTTAACATTCTCGCTCTTTCTCCCAGAAATTAGAAAATACACACGGGTGAACAAACAAACTTCTAGAAGCAAAACGCAGGGCATGGCCAGTCATCTTCACGCTTCGGTCTTTGGCGCTCTTACAGGCCGACGCCACCATCTCGTTGGTGGCACAGCAATAAAGAGAGGTGCCTGGGACTCGCCATTCCCTGCGTTTCTCAGGCTGTCACTAACTACAGAAGAGAGGCTCGAGGCCGCTCCCCACCTGGTGAATCTGCTCCCTGGCCACTGCGGTGGTGAGTGCGGCGCTGCTCAAGCTCTGCAGGGAGAGCTGCAGACGGGTGAGCAAGCTCACCAGGGACAGGGACACCTCCTGTCCCGAAGGGTTCCCACCGCTGCCGCCACGGCCAGGAGGGCCGCCGCCCTCGCCGCCCGCCCCCTCGGACGTCGTCCCCGCGGATGAGCTGCGGACGAGCGAGCCCATGTGCCAAGAATTGAGCGTGGGCGTCAAGTTCCACGCGCCGAAGAGTCGTTCATGTAAACTTCGAGTGAACGCTTATAACTTCGAAAACTTGTTTACGCACTCTGGCATTAAACCCTGCCGCACGTCTTGTCAGCTCTGCCATCATGCTTTTCTCTTTGTTCTCCCACTTAACCTCCATTCTGGGCGCACCACGTGCCTCAAGTCTCGCCGGAAGTGCACTCCTCGTGCCATTGCAACACCATTTAGGGGGGATGCACACACTTACCGCATGAGTCGCCCAACAGGACAGGCTGCAAAACTTGCCGCGCAGATTCCAACCATAGTGCGGTTTCATAAGACCCACTTCTGACTCGCATTCTTGCCAAATCCCATCTGGGGCTCTAAACTCATCCAACACAAAGTTGAGGCCCAAGTTCGCAAAGTACGCGATTGGACAATCACGACGATGACTTCTCGCTTTCGCCACTGGCGTCGAATCGGCGCACTGCGCAAACTTTCAGCTTCAACCTTGCGTTTGACGAGTTTAGGGACCCTGGTGAACTTTTGCCCAATGCTACCTTTCCGAAAGACAGTCCCTGGAGTACAGCTAGAGTGCAACAAATCAATTTTGTGCTCCCTTACCTTAATCACTAAAGGTCTATACCAATCCCTGTAAAATGTTAGGGTTTGTTTTGTTATTTGTTTAAAGGACACATGCAAAGGAAAAAACATTTTTTTTAGACAGCTTAGATGGAAAAAGGATGTCATAAAACGATTTTACAACGAAGAAAAAAAATTTTTAGAGCTATATTTACGGCGCTATACGAATTTGTAGTTGGCGCTCGCGGGAGCCGCCGCTGGTCACGTGGTAGGCCGCGCGCCGCCGCGCTGCGTCGCCGCCGCACGCTGAGCGTTGTGCGAACGCCGCTTCAACGCGTTTCTCCGCGCCGCCGTCGCCGCCGCCGCACAAGTTCGTCTGCTTTGGGGCGCCGCCGCCGTCGTCTGACCGGCGCATAGGTCTATCACGTCTGCTTGCGCTTTTTCAGGAGTTTCCTTTGGGCTCTAAAAGTTACTTATTCATCTTAGTTTTTTGTTATACTTCAAACAAAGATGAATAAGTTACTTTTAGAGGCCATAGGAAGCTTCCGAAAGAACGCAAGCACCACGTGATAAAGAAAGATCAGTCACGTGATAAATACGGACCACTTTTCCGCGGTGCCCGCGGGCGCCAACTATGAATTCGTTTTGCGCCATAAATATAGCTCTAAAAAATTTTTTTCTCCGTTGTAAAATCGTTTTATGGCGTCCTTTTTCCATCTAAGCAGTTTAAAAAAAATGTTTTTTTCCTTTGCATGTGTCCTTTAAAGCAATCTAAGACTTGGGACGACTTTTGTCTTTGCTGTGCACTGGCAGGGTGCAAGATACGCCAATTTGACAGTAAACTGTCCTAATTTGTGTTCTTGACAAACTCAATTCAGCATCAATGCATCTGTGATCCAAGAGAAACAAAACAAAAAACTAAAGCGAACACCACGCTTCAGCAGTCTCATGAAGCAAAGGTATGATAAAAAATCTATAGCACACTATGGAGCTGATTATAGCAAATACTGTTAACCTAATTTCCGTGAATTTCCCAATTTAAAAAATTATTACGGCACACTGATCGCAAAGATTCATCATCTCCATAGCAACGAATACACAACATACAACTCCCAGTAGCAAAGTTTTGTGCCCATGAAATACTCAAAAACCCACACGTATCAAGTTGCTTCCAGTATACCAATGCAAAAAAAAGAAAGTGCTATATAAGTAGAGGTTCCAATGCACTGACGTATCTTTACAACAGATGCTTCCCCCTCACCTAGCAGACGACACCGTGGTTGAGGTCGCGGCGGACGACGTCGCACTGCCCGACCTGCCCAGCCGACCCGTCCGCTCCGCACCCAAATCAGCTCCGGCTCTAGAGGTGGCGCCGGTGGAGCGCTGGTGCTGCTGCATGCGCCTCTCCAGCCGCGAGCAGATGGAGCGCAGCCGGTAGAAGGTGGCCCAGAAGTGGCGGCTGTGCGGGGAGCTGCCGCCGGACAGGCGAGGGGCGGGGTTTGTCGATGGGGGCAGAGGCTCCTCCTCCTCGTCCAGAAGCCCCTCCTCCCACCAGCGCTGCTGCATCCAATAAGAGCCTGTCAGTCTGTATGGGCCAAACGAATGTATAGACAAACTCCAGCAAGCGTTTTCTTTTAATCTCTCTTTCGCGAAATCTGGTCACGTAGCTCAAAGGTCGCAGTGTTGGGTTAGTCCCCCGAGAGGCAATACGCGAATGCGGGTCATAGATTGGGCTAGAGCATTGCGTGAGCAATCGGTTTGGGCTCGCAATAATCGATAGCCAGATGAGCATTCGGGTAACGGCTCGTGTCGAATATCTGCAATGATGACAGCAGCCGAACCCTAATAATGTCTGGAACTCGGCATGCGTTCAGCGCTTTGCCAACCCCAGCGCAAGACGAACATTGGCGGCATATAATGAACTCGAGGTCACGTGGCCGCTTGTTTTGGCAGCGAGTTGAGGAAATAAATGCTGCACTTCTTTGTTTTCTTTTTTTCTGCGGTTATAATTTGCAGGGGAAGAAAACCTAAAGTGTGTTTCATGAGTTTATTAACATCAGGGACTCGTTCGTAGTGTTTTTTTGCGCAAAGTACAAAAATAGTTACGCAGCCTTTTCAAGGGGCACTAAAGTGGCAACGGGACTCTACGCCGGGATGCAGAGACTAGTCAGCTGATTTACGCTGTAGTCGAGGCTTCCAACGAACCCAAACTTTCGAGACCGCAAAAATGATTGCCCAAAGCACATCAGAGAGAAAAAGAATGTGGTCCTACCCTCCCCTCCCTTCGCAGCCTCTGCAGGTGAGTGGAGTAAGTGGTGACGTCTCTGGCGTAGTCCCTGGCCTGCTGCAGCGCTTCCTCGGGCTCGAGACTGGGCCCCGGCTGCTGATAGGTCGACAGCTGAAAGTATGAAAACATGCATGAGCCTCGTCAGCCAGGAAACTCGATCGCTCCACCGCAAGTGCGACTGGTCGACGGATCGGGCAAACCGTGGCGCAAAACCAGGCCCACCCGATTCTCAGCGTTGACTCTTCTATGCCATGTTGGGAGGCTAGCGTAACTCCCGCAGACCTGTCAAAGACACTTCGCAAGCGCACAAAACCGAGATGCACGACGGAGCCCCACCCAGCATTGCAACCGTTCCCCGTAGTGGAAACGAAGCCAAAGTAGTCAACAAAATGACAGCAGCGGGGAGGGGCTTTGGGTGCATCGTATCCAGCGCAAGCTTCCCACTTTCGATGACGCTTCAGTGTCTTGTGCACCCCGAGCATATGGCGAGTTACATGCAGCCAAAGCATGGTGGAAGGCACAAAGCGCGTGCCGAAGGCCAGGTGCTCCAAAGACGTGCCCCCCAGTTTTCGTTCTGCCAGTGACTAAGTATACAAACTGAGAGAACGCCAAATGCCGGAGTCGGTTTGCCTTTGAACAGCGAGTAGAGACAAAGCCAGCTCGCCTTGTGTCCACCCACTAATCCTTCTAAGCGGAGCTCGGTGCTCTCATCTCCTCCTCTCCCTCCGTTCCTGTACCTATAGACTCGACAACCCAGCACAAAACAGTCGATGCCGAGTATGGAGAGACCGGAAACACCGAAGAGTCACACATTCCTCCTGAAACAGACGGGAGGGCCCACCTCTTCGAGCCCCTCCAGGTGCTGGTACATGGACATGAGGCGGGTGAGGATGCTCCTCCGCTGCGAGGAGCCCCCGGCAAGGGGCGCCTCCAGGCGAGGCCCCAGCAGGGGGGGCCGCTCCAGGTGCAGGGCCCCCGACAGGCCCGCCAGCGATGACGGGTCCAGGTTGGTGATGCCCGTCACTAGGGAGCGGCCGCCGGAGAACTGCACAAAGCGCACCTTCTCCCGCTCCGAGGCCGTCTTGCAGGTAGCCAGAGCTCGGCCCTTGCGCCAGTGCCACAGCACCACCCGGTTGGCGCTGGCAATGGCCAGCAGCGGCTCCCAGGGGTGGAAGGCCAGCGACGAGATCACCGTGCCCTGGGGAGACGTCCACACCTCGCTGCCGCCCTGTCGGGGAGCGAGGGGAAGAGAGGTTCGATAGAGGCGGTGAATTACAGAATGTGCTCAAGCGTTGGAGCCTGTGCTCATCAAGCACCGACTGAAGTGATGCATAAATTAATGTGACATTGGGATCATTCGATTTACTTGTACCTCCTGCACCAGCTGCACACCGTCATATTTGATTTACGAGTGCAGCCTACCTAAAAACACAACCGGAAGTACAATGCCCTGCACTTCTCTGCACCGGTGCGGGCTGGTGAAGGTAAACCGAATGAGCCCATTGATAACTGTCTTTCTTTTTGGGTACCCAACAACCACAATGGTCACCTGTTTGGTGTGCCAACACAAAGACGTAATAGGCGAGAAACAAAGATCAGACACCCGCACACAGTATTCAAAAATACTATTAGTAGCGAGAAACAAATACGGAATGTTACAAGGTAATCGCAAGATTCTTTACTTGTTGACGATACATCGTAATTGATGCTGAGAAGTCGAGGTAAGGTGGATCAATGTTATTTCAGTGAACCTGAGAAAGCAGCAAAGCATTATAAGATGAGTGAACATCACTATATCCCAATTGATTTTGCACACCACAATGCACGGATCCAATCCAGCTAAATTCCCACAGAACTTGGCAGGGAAGTTTCTCCACTAGATTTAGCAAGGAAAAACAAAGGTCACACATAACGCAACGCCAAAACTTGCCAAGTCCAGACCATAAACACATTCTGCATCAAAAAAAGATTGCCACAAAGTCTGAAGCAGTCCAAACTACCGATCCACAGTCTCTCATGTTATTGAAGATTGTGCGTGCCTAACTGCAGCCAAAAGAAGTGCAGAAGTTCAGCGAAGAAGGAATGAAGGGAATTCCGAGGTCTAATTTAGTTATGGTAAACGCATATAACATTTCTGACGAGGGCAAAACAGTGTTGCTGCTCAGGCATACTGAAGGTGCTAGTGACTAAGTTTACCACACTGCACCTACTCCTCGACAAAAATTACACCATCTACAACACCCCCCCCTTACGAACCGCAGATCACTTCATTCATCCAACGACCCGCTCAATTCCAACGACGAAAAAAGGGGACTTGAAAGCATACGAGGAGTTTCGAGATGGATCACGCCGAAGTTCAACAATGAATTGTGTCAAAGTTTTGCATTGGATCGTGTTAGGGCCACTCACCCTAAGGTCCCAGACGCGCACCTGTCCGGCCAGGCAGCCGGATGCCAGGATGTGGTTGGAGGTCGGGTGGAATGCCAGACACCAGGGCGTGCGTGGGTGGCCCTCCAGGGTGTGTGCCAACTTGCCCGTGGAAACCTCACACACGTGGATGCGATGGTCGCCGTGGGTGGACGCCACCTTCGTGCTGCGTACACAAGGCTCGGAAATGCGGACCTGCCAAGGACTAGCTTCTTGTTTCGACCGTGTGGGACATGGAGGTAGGAAGCTTCCGGAGGTGACATGAGGCCACCAGAGGTGAAGCCAGAAATGTGGAGGAACATGCCCCCAACAATGACCGAAACCAAGAGACACTATTGAACAAAAAGGAGAGCTGCTGGCGACAAGTCAGCTCTCTTTTTCGTCCAATAGCACCTCTTTGTTTTGATCATCGTTGGGGATGTGTCACACTTCTGGCCTCAATTCTAGAGGCCTCATGTCGCCTTCAGAAGCTTCCTACCTCCATGGTGAGGGACAACGGCAGTGATTGAAGCAAGGACAGCAAACGAGAAGGTAGGTAAACAAGTGGGAAGATCGAATGAAGTGCCATAGTTCCCTCGTGAAAAGGGTTTTGAGCATAGTCCAGAAACTGCACCAAGCAGTTCTTATAAAACTTTGCTGATGGCAAAAAAAAAAAAATAAAAAATAGACTGTGCATATGAAATGCACGCATTTTCGTTTTAAAAAAAATTACTGATCTGAACGCCAAGACAACTATTTTACTTCACCAGGCAAAGAAGAAAGTTAGCAATGCACCGCAAGGAGCCAAACCGCTTTATTACGTTTTCCAAGTGAAAACGATATAGATATGAGACATTAGGGGATTTGCCATAGACCAATGTACTGTTTAGGGACAACAACACTATGCCAATCCCAGGCATTGGCATGCACTTGCATAAAAAAAAAAACTTTGTTAAACTCCAAGCGCCTGCATGCGCGCTTGCACAAAAAAAAAAGCTTCGTTAAACTCCAAGCGCCTGCATGCGCGCCATGCCGTAACCAGCCTCACTGCTGCAACGTGGTGCCACAGACATTTGTTAATCAATACGGGCAGTCAGCACCAAAGCATAGCAGTTTTGCTTTCATAGAGTTCGGTAAGAATGTCTAAAATAAATAAATCATCAGGTATGACGAATCTCCACCAAATGTACAAACAACCTCGAGGAAGGCTACATTCGATTTCACCTTACGTTGACCACAGCAGACACTACAAGCCGTGATCGCAACTTGCAACTGCGCGCACGTCGCTGCGCCAATTGAGCAGGTCATGTAATGTTTCGCAGGGCACTAAATCGGCTTCAATGGCTCGTAACATCCTCTGTGGTCCGTCGTAAGCCGAAATGAAGTTGAGCAAAAGCCACGGTAAAACACAGTTCTTTCGTTTTCTCACCAATCGGGGCTGAAGGCCATCAGGAATGTCGACCGCACGGAGGCTGGCAATTTGCAGGCCTGTAGAAAAAGCAAAGCATCGGTGGCCACGGGCCGTCGGATGCCCGACCCCGCCACGCCAGCTCCTCCCCCCCTTACCGTCTCCTCCAGTTCGTAGTGTGCGGCCCTGTCTTCGGCCATCTTGTCAAAGCGCAGCGTGTGGGTGGGCCGCCGCGGCCCTTGGCCCTGCTCCCGTAGCCGCAGGAGGGTCACCGTGTTGACGAGACAGCACTGCCTTGTTGCAGACATGTTTCTGCGTGTACGCAAATTAAAAACTCAAACTCCAACAATAAAGAAAAGAAACTCATTCTCCCACAGTGCACATCCAGAAAACAAATGCAGCAAGATGATGGCCACGGCAAGGAACCGTTGCACTTTCATGAGATTTTGTAGCACTTAAAAACTCGCTCGTGTTCTTGAAAACAAGCTGCAGCGGTTTTTTTTTTTTTTTTTTGCTACTCAAAGTACACACATTTTTGGAGTACCCGGGCCTACCTCTTTTCGGCACGCTGCCTATATTATCTCTAAATTCAAAATAGCTATCAAGAAAACGGCAATTGAAGGTTGTGCCAAAACCAATGTACAAATTTTCCCGCGCTCTCCGGCGAGGGGACATCACACTTTGTACAACTTTCAAGTGGTGCAGGCAGTCTAAAAAAATACACTATTTTGCATGTTTCTTTTTGTCTTGCTGTTGTAAGTTTCCCTGGCATTCATTTCACACCTGTAAACTTCTTGTAACCCGTCGGGAACGAGCTGAACTGCCCTTTTATTACAACAATGGACCTTTTTCGGATAACGAGCGCCATTCGGGGGGTTGTTTGCAAACTACAAAGGAAAGTCAGCCCGCCATTCCTCGTCCCGCCAGTACAGAATGGCATTGTGCAGTTGTATCAACTTTTACTGGTTTATTTGCTACCTGTACTAAAAAAAATCGTCAAAAATACAAAACGGGTGCATAGGTAGGCATCGACGATAGTGGTCATCCAGGACGGTGCCCTCCGAAAATGGAGACAGCAGCAAGCAAGAGTGAGGGGATAGGGTGTACGCACGTGCAGAGGCTTACTGGAAAGAGGTGCATGGATGGATAACTGGATAACGGCTGTACCCTTTGAAAGTAAACATCTTCGACAAAAATCTGTCTGGTTTTGGGAAACAATTCGAAAAAAAGAAAACTCAAACCAAAAGTTTAGAAACAAAGAGTTCCCAACGTTTTGGGGTCGATTTGACTCCTTCTTCAGGGGTGACTAAAAATGGAATGGAACAGCACGAGCTTCGACCACTCCTTCCTCTTCTACCGAGGTGATGTTTTGTGAACGTGACGCAGGCCATGGACGTAAAAAGATGGTAAGGCCCCGAGGGACCTGTTTATGTTACCCGGTGTATTCTGGATATGCCACGACTCCAAGAACAGGCGTTTTCGAATATGTGGCTCCGTGTCTATCATGTGTGCGTTTCCGAAGTTGATCCGATGATCAAATACCTCACAATGTTCCGCGACGGCGCTACGCTCGCGATCGAAATTGCGCACATCGTTCTGGTGCCGGCGCATGCATTCGGGAAAAGATTTAGTTTCACCGATGGAGGCCGCAGGGCACTCTGCACACGGTATCTTATAGACCACGCCTTGTGCTTTCTCTTTTGGGAGGTGATCTTTCGGCCTTAGCATGAGCCGTCCTAATGTTGACACTGGCTTGCGCGCCACTTGGATCCCTTCTTGTCGGAGCACGCACGCCAGTGTCTCGCTCGTCCCTTTTACATAGGGGACACTGATGCGCGCGATGGGGCAGGGCTGTGTGTCACCCGACGATCCATGGTTATTGCGCAAGCAGCACTGTCGACGGGCAACACGTTGAACAAAACTCCTCGAATAGCCGTTTTTTTGGAGGTCCGCAAGTATGGTCTGTTTCTCCTTTCTTCTGTCTCTTTCTGACGAGCAGATGGTCATTGCTTTAGACAAGAGAGTAGAGACCACCGACAACTCGTGACTCGTTGGGTGGTTCGAGTCATAATCAAGGTAGCGTCCGGTGTGTGTTGGCTTCCTGTAGACTGTGAATCCCAGCTTGTCTCCTAGCCTTTTCACCAGAGCATCGAGGAACGGCAAGGCTCCATCTCGCTCGTAGTCTACAGTGAACTGGATGGCCGGTTCGATAGAATTCAGGTGTGCGAGGAAGTGGTTCACTTCCGATTTCTTCACAATGCAAAAACAATCATCTACATAGCGCATGAACTCTTTTGGCCTGTTGGCGAAAGTGCTAAGCGCTTTCTGTTCAACCACTTCCATTGTGAGGTTTGCCGTCGTGACCGAAATAGAGGAGCCCATTGCCGTTCCGCTGACTTGTTTGAAAAGCTCACCCTTGAAGCTGAAGTACGTACTGCCAAGGCAGAACTCGAGAAGGCAGCATAGCTCATCAACACTGAGGCTGGTTCTTGAGCCCAATGTTTTGTCTTTCTCGAGAACCTCTCTGGCTGCAGCAACTGCTAAGGGAACTGGCACACTGGTAAAGAGTGACGACACCAAAAGACACAATCATGTCATTATCACTGAGCCTCACTTGCGAGGCACGTTCCACGAAGTGGCCGGTGTTCAGCACATGGGTCGGGGTATTTCCAACAAGGGGAGCTATAGTCCAGTGTAGGTAATTAGCGCTCGGAGCGGTGAGGTTGTAAAGTCAAGAAAAAGTGCCTTTCCGATGGGCCAATCTATCTATGATTCCCGATAGATGGACAGCTTACCGTCGTGCAGAAGATGAGTATGCGTGTGCTCTGTCCCTTGCCAAAATTATGTTTTTTAGTCACACCCTCCCATCGCTACTGGAAACCAATCTCCGCAAGTTTTGGCACGTGGTGAACGGAAAGCAAAGGAAACAAATTGAGCTTACCACTGACAGCGAACTGGTCGTTCCTAGGGAGAGTTGCTGTGTTGTTTTAAACTCTGTATTCTCACTGTCCTTTGTTAACATTACACCGGCTGTGCTTCCCGATATTCCGTCTCATGATTTCTTCCCGATGGATCCAATAGTTATTGACTGGGCAGGTATATGCAAAATAATCCAAAATATGAAGCTTGCCTCTTCTCCAGGTGATGACGACGTTAATTCCAAACTTTTGAAGAACACCGAAGTGTATTCTTCTATAACATTATCAAAGATTTTTGCATAGTCATTAAAATCCTGTACGCTCCCAAAAGACTGGAAGGTAGTTCCTCTGCACCAGTCAGGTAACACCCATTGTCCCAATAATTAGACCCATTTCACTAACAAGCATACCATGCAAACTCATGAAGCATGTACGCGATAAATAACACGATTGTGTTATTTATTGCCAAATTCTGGATCCTGGCGATTGTTCCGTCCTTCAGTCTGACCAAGATAATATTTCATCTTGATGTGGCACCTGGCTAATGAAACTTAACGCTATCGAATGAAAGTAGATGAGACTTTCACGACATTCTAATCATGTGTTACCATGTGACTACTTACTTAACAATGTTTCTGTAATGAAGGTTTCCTTCTACAAGTATCTAGGCATTACGATTTCTGATAACCTTTCATGGCAAAATCACGTGGACCACGTCACAACACTAATCGTTCACTCGGTTATCTACGGCATAACTTTTCTTTAGCCCCAACTAACCTAAAACTTCTGCTCTATAAATCTTTAGTCTGATCAAAGCTAGAATACACATCATTAATCTAGGACCCTAATATTAACTCTCTAATTTAACAAATCGAAGCCATCCAGACCCCTTTGGTGCGTTTCATTTTTTTAGAATTACTTCCACACTGCCAGTGTCTCTTCAATGAAATCTAATCTTAACTTGCACAATCTTTTATTGCGTCGTAAAATGTCTCCTCTTTGTCTCTTTCATAAGATTTATCCTTTTAACTCTCCCCTCAGTGATTCTCTCTTTCTGCCACCATTGTATATTTCCTCCCGCAGCGACCACGAGTACAAGGTTGGCATGCCAAGCAGCCGCACTAATTTACACTTCTACTCCTTCATTCCCAAAACTTGTGTCGACTGGAACCACCTCCCCGCCTCCATCGATGTGGTCACAGACGCCGTCCGCTTCAAATCTGCGATCTGCAACCATTTTCTGTAACCCTGCTGTTGTGTTTATGTTGACGTTTATTATTTTTTGTGTTTTTTTCACCCACTCCTTTCTGTAATGCTTCGGCCTTGAGAGTAAATAAATGAAATGAAATGGACGATATATTGATGCCCACTTCACTTTTCTCTAGTCTTTTCTCCAACTTTCCTAAGTATATCATGAAATATATACTATAAGAGAGTAGATAAATGAAATTAAATAAAATGAAAAGTAGAGGCGACAGAAGATATCTCTGCCTAAGCCCATGCCTTATTGCTGCTGGCTGTGTGGTTTCAGCCTCCCATGTTACAGTTACTGTATTGTCTATGTACACTTCCTGCAAAAACCTCACCAATTTCATATTTAAGCCAGACTCCTTTAGCTGTGTATATAGAATTTCTTGATTAACATTATTCTATGCTCTCTGAATGTCTAAAAGTGCCATCCAGAATTGTTGTTAGCCTGTCTGCGCTATTTCTATACATTGTGTGACCGCATACAAATTATCTTCTATACCTGTTTTCACCTCAAGAACCGTAATAAAAAAATTTACAGGGTCTCTTATGTTATCAATAGGATGACCTGGAAAGCCCAAGCGCCCATGAAAACATGATAGCGAACCTCCAAAGACAACACGCTTTCCAACGACGCACTTTTGCTGCAGTTTCATTGGCTCACTCGAATCGTGACACCGGCTGTGGTCCTGGTGATAACAAACCACCGAAGACAGCGCACTCTCTGGCGACTAATGAGGTAGAAGGGCTTAAAGTGATAAACTGATATCGCATACACCAGGCAAAAGTGACCCCCACTTGGCCGCCACCATGTTGTACAATTTTGACCCCTAGAAACGTGACAGTAGCAAATCCTGAGGCTTTTATGCAAAGCTGAGCAGGGAATCGTATTGCGATCGCTGTAAAAAACATGATAAACTATTTTTTCAATACTGTTAGCCCCAGAGATCAGTGTCTAGCTCCGATAAAAACCAATAATACAGCACTGCGGCTGAAGGCATTTAGCAGAGGCATTGCGAAGCTGCCCGAGTTTTTGTCGTAAAAGCAGATTATGGACTTAAAACAAGCGAAAAATAACTCATCTCATCAGTATTGTTACTGATGAGATGAGTTACTACCTTTCATTTATAAATGTTCCCTACAATCTTCTTTGACTCTCTTCCAATCTTGTCCATCCACCAATGCCCCTAGACCACCCCTTTCCGTTCCTTTCCTGTTGCATCCTATCCAAGCATACTCCAGCAATAAAGAGGGTTCTTCCATGTCTCTAAGATGTGTTTCCGTGACCTCGTATACTGCGAAATTTTCCTTTTGGAATTGGTCCTCAATTTCTATCCACTTCACCCTATTCCTGCCACCTTGCATGTTTATAAACCCTACGTTCTGTTGCATTTTCCTCCTTTCTCCCGCAAGTCTCAGTTCTGCATTTCCTTGTTACCTGTTCCCTCGTCAGACAAGGGCTCTCCTCGGGCCTGTCTGCACCCCTAAAAAAACCCTAGCACTACGTCCCATCCTGTACCCCACCTGCCTCCCTGAGGGCACGCTGTAATGAATGCCATCCCAGGGGAAAGGTGGTGTGCTCCAGCCCCATAGATCCCCTAGTTGACATCCATCAGGTCGTACACAAGGGCCTCCCTCATCTCCCATATAATTTTGTTTGTCTCAATAATCTGCCTGGCTACCTCTAGCCCCCTTCCCTGGACCTCTCGGATGGTGCACAACACAATGCACGCTCTCTCCGAGACGGCTTGGGGTTAGGCCGATCCCGCCCCATTCGTTTCCCCAGATGCCGCCCCTTCAGCTTGAGAACGTCATTGACCCCTGCGTGTACGGCAACTAGGTTCTTTCCCCTCATGTTGCCCCAGACACTGTCCTTGGCCCTATCCATTACCTCACTAAAACTCCTGCCTGGCATGTCGTCTACCTGCACCCTCTCATCATAGCTCACCGTCTTCAAAACCGCGTCTTTGCATCTTGACACATTCGAACTTCCAAGCACCCACACCATCCTGCGCTCTGTCTCCTTTTCTCCCTGTCCTGTCACCTTCCTCCTTGTACCCTCCAATGCTGTGTTGGTCTGTCCTCCCATGGCCCCACTTGTTCCGACTATCTGGCTGAACATCAGCGTTGGCTGCTCATTTAGGGCATCATCCTGGCTAAACAATACAATACAATAAACTTTATTTTTCCAGAAGTACTAGAGGGGTTCCCAGTACTTCTACATCCTCCTGCTGGGGAAGGCGACCCCCGTCAGCACTCTGCTCTCCCACCTGTTGCATGCACACCATCTGACCTTGTTTGCGTTTTAGACCTTCCAGTTCCGTCTCCTCTGCCTCCCGCTTCTCTCCTCCTGCTTTCACCATTGCATCTATCTCCTCAAACCGCAGTTCAACTGCCTTGCTACATTCTCGATCTTAGCCATCAGGTTCTCCTTCAGCTCCCTAACTTCGGCCTCCAGCACCGCCTTACACTCTCCTTTACGCAGTTCCTCCACCAGCTCCTCTACCCTCCCTCCCTATTTCTCGCTAAGCTCTACTTGTCCTAGATCCTGCAGGTGAACTCTGCCTTCTGTGCATACCCCACATTCATAAACGAGGTTTCAAACAAACAGCCCCACCTACACTGATGTCACATATTTCCAGTGTTGCCAGTAGAGCCTTTCGAACCACTTGAATAACTTTGCGGAAAAAATGTTATTGTGACTTTTTTAGTTAATAAGTAGTTCAGACGTGTCGATTAGTGTGTTGAAATAATTTTGAGGAAAATCGGTGACTATAGAGATTTCGAAACCCATCCCCAATGCACTGTCAAAAGCGAAAATAGTTTGTGCAGTTCACCACGAAAATGACCGCTGAATATGCCATTATTTCTTGACTTTGCACTCTTGACAAAACACTAAACTCGGAGGACTTTAGTTGTACAGAAGATAGAGATTTGAGCATACTATGCTCTAGTGGGTAATGCACTCGACTCATTCATGTGCAGCACGCTAACGCGAGCAGAGCAGGGTTACTTTGTGAACAGGTCCATCTATTGGTTAGCACCTATGTTGAGTTACATAAGCTGTACGCATTATGTCAGACCCTTTTCATATGACCCAAATAGGTCTGTATCGTTTCATCAACAACACATTCCGTTGAAAAAAGTTTTGTCAAGAACATTTCGTCCACAACATTTTTTTTCTTTCTCTAATGTGTGTAATGAAACCTGAAAGCCGCTAAAGACTAGCACATAACTTGTTGAGGCATGTTTACCTAAACCTCAGAGCCTCCCCCCTTCCCCTCTCTCCTCCCATAAACCAAGGGAGACACAAAAAGTTTGTTGCAAGAACAGCAGAGTTGCGTTCGACAAAACATCGCAAAATGTCTCTATGAAACAAATGTGAGAAGCCTTTCAACGAAACAAACTGCCAATGAAATGTCGCATGTCGACGAAACATTGTTCGACAAACTGACTGCCACGTACCCTATGTGTTAAATAATTTCCATAGTGTTTTCAACAGCCATAAAATCCCCTGCTATGAATACATGGAATTTGTACTATGGAATTCCAGAAAAGCATCTGTCCACAGCATCCTAGTTGTTAATTGTGATAACACACAACGCTGCAGGCCCTAAGCAGGCCTCTTGCACCAGATGATCATGAAGCAGCCCAAACGGTCCTTTTATTTTGAAGGATAAACACCGGTTACGATAAAAAATAAATGCAGAATCTTTAGTTTTTCCTAATGTGGACTCATAACAAAATTGGAAATCACAGCAACAACTGCTTTAATCGTTACAGAAGGAACATGAGAAAATATTTTTGCAGACCAAAAGTAAGCAAACAAGGTGCACACAGCTTCTTTGGCAGGTGTCCAAGTTTGTTTTGAGTTCACTATTTATGTCCACTGACAGCATCACAAGCTGGAAGTGAGGTGTGATGACACATACGAAAGGCATTCAAATTAGGTCTCCCAACTTTTTTTTTTTTCTCGGGATTGTGAATGGGGAGGGGCATGAAAAGCATCTCAAAATATGCAGAATTTTATTGTGAATAAGCGCAAGACACACTAACATTGCTATAAAGTCGACCAACGATCGCGGCACCATCTGATCTCACCAATGTATCGAACATTGAAAATGAGAGCATTTACCTTCTGTGAGCAGTGTGTAATTGCTTGTTTTCTGCAAATGCGCAAGATTGAACGATTTTGTCGAGTGGTAATGGCATGAACAGTGGTTTCGCTTCAGCAATAGTCCTGATGAATGAGAGGGGGCGCTGTCTTTCAACCCCGAAACCAAACGCCAAAAGCAACAATGGGAGCGTTGCAACTTCCCTCCGCCCAAGTTTTGCGCTATTGCCAGTGCAAAGAAGGAGGTGGTGGCCACGTTCCAGGATAATAAAGGCATCATCCTCACCCACTGTATCCCAAATGGCACAACAGTGATGGCTGTATCCTACAGAGACAATATGAAGAAAAAATTTCTTCCTGCTTGGGAGGAAACGTGAGTGGAAAAGGCAGCAGTTGTGATCTTGCATCAGGACAATGCTTGGACTCATAGTGTAACACTTTAAACTGACCTCCACGAAAACGGTTTTAAACTGAATTCTCGCACCCCCTGCTCCTCTGATCTTGCCCCCAATGATTTATATCTGTTTCTGACAATGAAGGACACTTTGCCTGGGCGAGTGCTCATGAGGCGCTCTGTTGTTGTGTTGTTTGGTGGTCTCAACAGACCCCCAAACAAATCTTTGCCGCAGCTATGCTGCCGTGATGCCGATGCTGGCAAAACTGCGCAGAGCTACACAGTGACCATGTGGAGAAGTGACAAGTGTCACCATTTTGTTGCACATACTTTTTTTTTAATAAATAAATTAGAAGACTTTATAACTTGAACGCCCCTCACACCGTGCACGACGCAAAACAAAGCCGGAAATTCTGCTTGTTTACAGCCGACCCCAGGAAGCACTCATTTCCCAACTAAGGCAAACCAAAAGAAGTAAAAGTTTCAAGGCACAAGCATGAGAAAAGAAAATTAATATCCGTTGCCTCAATATGTTTACAAACCAAGGATATATGCAAGAAGCAGTCACCATCCCATCCTCCCATTCCCATTCCCATCCCATCCCCCCCCCCCCCCCCCCCCCCCCCCCCCGTACTCATCGCCCGACTTTCGCAAAATGTCGGGGTTGGACAAGCAAACAGGAAGGTCAATTATTAACATAAACGCTGCGGAATTGAAGGCAGCACGCCCAAATAAATGAAACACAGGTGCTGAGTCAATAAGAGAGGTTGTGGTTATTACGCGTTAAGAACCCCGAAGTCAGTACGGCAGACACTCACACGTCGGTCAGGCGGTTTTTTTTGCTGTTTATTTATGTTTTTTTTTCTTTTTCTTCTTGTCCGCTTTGCCAAATAAAAATGTCAGTGACACTGCAGCAGGCGTTTACCCTGCTCGCAACACCAGCACGTCATCGAATACCATCGACAGATTAAAAATGTACGGTACCCAAACCCTGAATACTACATACCGAGCAACCAACACCCGTGACATCCTAGCGGGGCAGAACCACGACCCGGTCGTAGGCAGAACTTGTTGATAGCTATCGGGTTCGTGGTTGGTTAGCCGAAAACATTCCACGCATGGACGTTTACCAGCCGGGCTGTTCAGTGCGAACGCGGTCACCTACGTTATTCCAGAGGACGAAACAGAGCAAATCGATACTCTTATAACATAATGCGCAACCGAGTCGCAACAGCGAGGTGGACCCTCCTCTTTTGTCGACACAAACGGATCCATTACACAGAGAGCGGACTTGCGTGTTTTGGGGCATTTTTTTGTCGTTTTTTTTTTTTTTGGGGGGGGGGGGGGACTAGGGTGGCACTTTGGGCATTGCTTCCTTGGAGCTACAGTGCACTAAGATTGCGTGTTTTCGCTGCGAGCTACGCGAGTTGTGAACTTATCTGGCAAAACAGTAGTAGACGACAATCGAACCTACCTGCTGTATCCTTCGCAGCGGGAGGCGACCCCAAACCAGCTTGACCAGAGGAATACAATCCGTTCCTTGTAGTCACTGGTTCATTGCAGAAGCGAAGTGCTTGGGAAGCGTGCGATATCACCAGGAAACCATGGATAACCGTGTCAATCTAATCAGATGGAAGGGTGGAACGGCCAGTGCTGGTGGTCGCAGGGCGCTTTCACTTCCACCACTCCTCCTCAAGGCGCATCAGTAATCAAGATGGCTGCCGGTACGATGCTCAGACCCCTGCTGGAGGGAAGTGGCAATCGAGGAGCGGTGCTCATCTGCCATCACCGCCATCACCAACGTTGGCCATATCACTCACTGATCAGGAATAATCGGAGATCCAAATATTCGAGTGATCATTTCTGTGCACTCGCTCACATGGCTCACTGGCTTCATGGAGCAGATTCAGCCACTTTTGTAACTCGCATGTAATAAATATTTGTGTTATGATTTAAAATTTAAAACGTCAACGAAACGAAGGTACTCCGACCAGTTGAGGCGGACGTCCTTGACGGAACGAAGACGTTTTGACCACTTGAGGACGTCCTAAGGCCCACATGGGCATACATGTGCGAAAAATAATTCAAAAAGAATTTACTACTACATAACGTGAAGTGGCGCATGCGGTGACGTACGGGCCAAAGTGGGCATACCTAGGACCCCGAGGACCTAACCAAAATGTCAAAATGGTAACCCGCTTCGTCACAATCCTATCGGTCGCGCAGCTAAATACACGACTAAAAACATAACAGCTAGCAAAACACAAATGAGATAAATTTGAGCTTTGTGGTGAGTCTTTCATCATGTTGCATAAGGGGTATTCACACGAGGGAGAAATCCCGGGGACTTCTCCCCGGCACGCGCATCCCACGACGAAAACGTCAAGCTTTGCGATGTGCAAAAGCCTCGCGTGCTAAATCTGTTTTTTTTTTTTTTTTTTTTTTTTTTTTTTTTTTGTCGTACGGTGAGTTTTTTTATTATGTCTCAAACGAGATATTCAGACATCTCCCAAAGAGGTAATCATGTCGTTTAAAACCTGAGACCGTGGTGAAGAAAATTAAGAAGTTTTAGTCGAAGGAACACCCAGCTAAAAATTATCATTAGATCCAATTGGAAGCACACTGGCCAATGGGTCTCACCAGTTGGAAAAAAATTTCCAGTTGGAAACTTAATGGGTTTCAAATGGTTCCTGTTGGTTGCCATACAGTGACCAATTGGTTGTCCGAAAACCTAACTGCTACCAATTGGAAATTCTAATTGGAATCTAATTAGAATTTTCGACTGGGCAGACACAGGAGGGATTATATAGCTACCACTAGCTCGCCTGTGCACACAGTCTTTTTCCCAAAGAGAACATTCATGCGACGCACGGCCCGTCATATTCGAATTAAAGTGTGCGCACGGAAGCAAGAAATGTATTAAAGGGATACTTCAACGAAATTTGAAATATTTCCGTCGTGTTCAAAAATAGGTTGAATATGATCCAGAATATCATTAAAAGACAATCGCACGTTTGTATTTTGAGCCTGGTGGCTGTATTCCACTCTGGCAAGCGCTCAGAGAAGGCCCAGCGGAGACCACGTGACATCCAACGCAATCGTGATGTAGGTCGTCTCAGGACGAGCAAAGCTATGGTGAGGCTGACGTCGAGAGGATGGCCTATTCGTTCCAGCCACCGAAGCGGCTGCTTTTGTACGAATTTTGAGTGACGGGTTAATCTTCTATAATCTTGTAGGGGGACAATAGCGACTTCTGCGACACACAAAAGGCATTCTCGGGAAGAGGGGAGTTCCTCCTTCCCCTCTTCTTTCGTCGTGGACGGAGGCGAGACAACCTCCGTCACTAGCTGTCAAGGTTCCTAGATGAGCATTACAAACGAGGCGTTAGCGACATCCACCCTTACGATTTTTTCTATGATCCACCAGGTGCTCTTTGCTAATCGTTTAATTCGTTTTAAAATTCCTTTTCGAGACTTTTTTTTAACAATATAATGGTATGTTCGATGTGATGCTGCTCCTTTAAACACATATGGACCAAAAAATGAGTGCCGAAATTTCGTTGTAGTGAAATGTCGCGTGACGCTAAAGGCGAAACCAGTTAAAACAAGTAAAAGTAGAGTGCCTTCATATACACACGCGCGCTTTTGCTTGAGTAGTGACATCTCAGCCATTTTTCCGCCCAATCGTTTTTTTTTTTTTTTTTTTTTTTGTGCATTTTGAAGTGCGCGCAATCCGGTGTCACTCAGCTCGAGCGCGTAGCTTTCGCTAATGCATAGACGCCATTTTACCGCCCAAGTCACGCACCGAGTGCGCGAGAGCGTCACGCGCTGGCACTTTCAGGGCAACAATGGATGTCTTCACCCTGAGACAGAGAGACATGAAGGCACCCTAAGTAAAAGGGGAACAAGTAGCCACCGGGTGCACTGTTCCGCAGGCGCAATACCGAAACCGAAACTAAAACGATACCTGAAAGTTAACAAAAAAAATAACATTTTAATAAGTAACTTGAAATTTAACTTATGATTACTCGATAATTATACTGGACATAAATGTATTATCAAATAAGTTCGCAATACAAAATTATAAAATGGCTTTACTATAAGCCAATCCAATCCAATAGGAAATCTTCAAAAATGTCTCAATGTGCGTGTTTGTGTGTACAAGGGAGGAAGTGGCCGAGTGGGCTAACGCGTCTCAGCTCGGAGCGTGGAGCGAAAGCTTGCGCTGGGAACCTCCTGGGTTCGATCCCCGCCGCCCCTGCCCGTTTCGATCTGGATGAGTTTCGTACCGGCACGCGTTCGTGAGATCACTACTGCGTGATGCACGTTAAAAATCCCAGGTTAGCGGTTGTACCGCACTGGCTAAATTTCTCATCTACAGCTAAGAGACCGATTACCCGTTGAGGCGCATCTCCATCAAGGCTGTATAAACATAAAGAGCAAGCCAATTTTTGTTTGTGTGTACCCAAGAAAGTCGTATCCACAGTGGATACTGTGGTCGTATCGTCGTATCCTGTGGTCTATCGCCCAAGGAGGCATCGCCCGGCACTCCGTTACCGTCCCCCGAACCCCACCGTTAACGTTAAACGGCAATGTTACACGACTGCGTGATATTTTCAAGTTAAGTTTCCAATCTTGAAAGGTGCTCTTTCTCTTGAGATGTTAGCTGGCGTCCTTCGTTGCTGATGCAGAATGCGTCATGCGCGTGAACGTAAGCGGAGTGTAGATTTCTCTATAAGAAACTGTGCCAACCGTGCTGTCCCAACGCCCGCCTTCGACACCGCTCTCCTTTCAACCGCGCTTGTCTTGTCTCGCTTCAGCAGCTGTCCGCCACACTCACGGCATGCTCCTCAAACAAATTGCGTCGTGGTGTCAACGACACCAAGGCCTAGTAGCCTGGTTGGTATTCACTGGACACCATATCTGAACGCAGTGTTCATTGCTCGTGCTCACAACGAGCCCCCACTTGTCCTCTGAAAAGAAAAACAATCTCTGTGATGTGTGGTGTAGAACCGTTGTGGACGCTCATCACAAAAGCGTGCTTAGCAGCAACTGACTCAACTATGGCCGCCAGTGACATACCACCCATAAATACTCGATTTCTACTTACAGGTAAATTCCTCCAGCATTGGCCGAGAGAGAATGGGGTCAATCCCACATCGATGTCTCGAAAAACATCTCCCACCACCCCAGCCAACGTCTGTCAAATTGCGTTCTTTGCACAGCATCCTTGTTCATACAAACACAATGTCATTGGGCCACATTCAGAGCTGCTGGGTGCCCACCATTTGCTCAATTTGCCCAACTCTAGCTAAACAACACACCACTTCATATCTATTAATGGCACGTTCATGTAAATGAAACCAGGGTCATGCCCTAGCTTTATAGCTTTCGTTTCCTGCTTCCTCCACAGAGTTGCATCCCTTGATCAACCTCCGATTGTCATCTGTAATTTATCTGATATGTTCATTCTGTCCTCATATGCTCAGTTGTTTCGCATTGATATCTCTAATTGCTATATTTCTATTGTTAATTGCATTACACATTTTTCCAATTGAGTTCTATATATTCAATAGTGTTTCTTGTTTTCTTTTTGCTTTGTTGTTGCTTTGACATGCTGCATTATGTTTAATGTGGTTTGCATTGGTAGCTAAGTCTGGAAACTTGCAGTGAAAATTTGATCCCTGTGGCATACTGATTCATTGAAAACTGTCATGTGCTATCATCTGCAACACTTTCTTGTCGCAGAACCCACTTTTGAATCTTGCAGGACAAAATCGGTGGCATTCGCTAGGAAAATCTAGTGAAATGATCATCACAGCTTCAGAGGGGGTATCAAAACAAGCCCAGTCAACTAATGGCATGATCAGTCTTTTGCAAGCGTTCCTGTCCTTACTCCCTGTAAAACTTTTTCTATGCAGTGTGCGATTAAACATTGGCTTTCCTTGTATTGGTTAAGTGGAATGTTGCTCCGAGTATAGGATAGGATGTTCATGCTGATATGCTCATGGGGGAGTACAGCAGGTCCTGCAATGAAGCTACCATAAAATACCAAGCATCCACCCTTTCTTTAATAAGTGTCAACCCCTCAATTTTGAAACATTCTGAAAATATGTGAAGGACATATTTTTACATATTGTTGACCTAAGGAGCGTCCATCCCCCAGTTTTATACAATTATCTCAGAATTTTTGAGTGGCTGCTTGCTCGGGAGTTTACGGTACACACACTGCGTTCATTTTGATGCCAGCTCACATCGTTAAACCACTATCAAACAGCAAATACAAACTTGGGCGTTTCAGTATTGACAGCTAGTTATAAGAGCTATAGTAAGAAAATAATAAATAGAAAAGTTATGCATGTGAGTGCTTAGAAAGGCACTTAAAGGGCCCATGAAACGAATTTTGGGCTGGAATAAATCAATTTATATTGGGACATTGCTCAGTGGGCCAAAAGAAAAAGGTAGAAAGTCAAAAGCCTGACTTCCGGTACAAAAATTTGAAAACACAGCGGTCTATTTCATACTTCCTTCCCTTCGTAAGCTCCCCTGCCTTTTCACTGTGATACATCCGCGGTCCCCGCAGCTCGTCACCGGGCCCCCGCATGCGCGTCGCACGACAGCGGACCTCACTTATTCCCTTCACCCCTAAGCTGACATTGTGGTGGAAGCTACGAGGTTGCCGGACCAATCAGCCGCCTCCCTTTCATCACCTGACCTCATTCTCTGCGCATGGGTATGCGCTAGAGAGCATGATCACGTAACAAAAGTGTGGCTGGTTTAACGAGCATGTAGCTTCCACAGAACTGTCAGCTTCGGGGTGAACGGGGTGGGGAAAGCAACTTTTGTCTGAGTTTTGAGCGACGGGCTAATCTTCTAGGTAGAGAATGGCTGTGTCTGGCTACACAAATGAGAGTCCGAGCATGAGGGACTCCCCCCTTTCCGTCTTCTTGAACTGTTTGGTAGAATGCGCGATTTATGAGTTGAGGAGGAAAGCTAAACAGGAAAAAGTTGGAAAAGCGTTTCATGACTCCTTTAACTTACTTTATTTGCCCAAAATAGTGTATGGTGCATCCTTTGAACACGTTGCAACGGTTAATGCCTTTGTGTTTAGGAAGTGCTGTACCACATGGGTGCTAGGACACTTCTGTTTTACTGCAGTAACCTATGACCTTTGCCTAATGGTATGTGCCATGACGTCTGGAAGCTTGCAGTGTTGTCTCAGGTAAACTTAGTCAATGTCAAGATCTGCTAATCAATCTTAGCCAAAGAAATAACCTGACTTAGACCTTCCCCCCACTCCCCTGCAGGGTCAACCATGGAAGCCATTGAAGACGAAAGAGAGACCTTCAGCTGCTGGAGCACCGAGAGTGAGTACCCTTCTCAAGAAGAGGTACAGCAGCAGGTGACATGCCAGCAACCTGAGGACAGGTAGCGATGACCCCTCTGGCCTTGTTCAAGCTATCGTACATTGTGCAGTGCTCATCACGAAAGAAAGCGGACAGGAGAGAAGCCGTTCAGCTGCCATATCTGTGAAGAGGCATTTGGAACAGAGACCAAGCTGCAGGTTCATGAAAGGATCCACACAGACGAAAGGCCATTTAAATGCCAGACTTGCCAAAAAGCATTTGCACAAAAGGGTGACTTGTCTCGTCACGAAAGAGTCCACACAGAGGAAAGGCCATACAGGTGCCAGGTTTGTCCAAAAGCGTTTGCCCAGAAGAGCAACTTGGTTCACCACAGAAGAGCCCATACGGAGGAAAAGCCATTCCAGTGCCAGACTTGCCAAGAAGCATTTACGCAAAAGTTTGAATTGTCTCGTCACAACAAAGTTCACCCAGGGGAAAAGCCCTACAAGTGTGGCACCTGCACGAGAGCATTTGGAGATGCAGCCAACTTGAAACGTCACGAAAGACTTCATAAGGAAGAGCAGCCGTTCAGGTGCAAGCTTTGCGAAAGATCATTCGTGGACGGGTCTAACTTGAATGGGAATTGGAAGAGGTGCCACCTGTGAGGGACGCTCATCATGGGTTATCTGCGGAGATGGCGTTTAGGTAAGGCTACCTAAATGTTTACCATATGTCTTGCATTTGATAATAAACCTGGAAATGCTGCATTTGTATTCTTGGTATAGGAAGTGCTCTGTATGTTTCATATTTTATTTTCTTGTGTGCAACAAAGGCTTGGGTTCTACTATGGATCCCTTTGTAGCTATGGGGATAAATACTTTGCACATAGTAAGAGTACTCCCAGTCCCATTTTAGTTAGTGGCAAATACAGCGGTAAAAGCATATTATTTTATATATAAACGTGAGCCAGCTGTTGCTGTATCTATTTAAACTGCCATACTCTTCTGAAGAAGAAAAAAAAAACTGCAAGTTTTGTTTTTAATTTGTACACTTCTTTCTCCAAGATTTGGTTATCGGGGGAACAAAACTATTTTTGCATTCTGTGTGTCTCAATATAGGAAGAATAACTTATATGTGCATACTATTCTAACTGACAAGGTGAGAACTGCTGAGAGGAGCTTCAGTTCTAACTCGAGCGCGAGCCCCTTACCTTGAATAAATGCTTTGGCGTCTTGTGCTCCTCGAGCGCACAGCCAAAGCCCGGTGGAAGGCATGGAGCTCATGCTGGAAACTGGGCGTTCGAAAGATACGTCCTTTCTCTGTATGACAGCACGCCAGTTAAAGTGAAGACCCTCGAAACGCTGCTACAATAAATAAAACACACCACGATAGAGTTAAACCGAAACTAGAGCGATGCCCTCCTTCCACCAAAATAATTAAATAATTTTAACAGGTCAGTTTCAATGAAATTTTATTTATTATTAATGCAAAAGCATTAACTGTCTCACGGAGTGAGCCGACGTCATCAGCTTTGAAACGACGCCAAACGGCTCTTACACCGCTTCAATCCCATTGGCTAGTCTGCGTCCACAGCCAACGGCACCTTTTACACCGCTGCGATCCCATTGGCTAGCGCGTGTCAACCTTGCCGGTCACGCAGCGCCATGGGGTGGCCGGTCGTTGAAACTGACACGCGACCAACCACCTCATGGCACTGTGTGTCCGTCAGCGCTAACACGCGTAGAGCAAGATTGATGTACATGCTTTCGCATTCACAACTCGTAAGAAGTGCTTAGGTGTACCTCAATCTTTTTGGGTCCGCTGGACGTGAATATACCACCAAATAGCTTCGAAGTTATGAAAATATATATATATAGTTATACAATGTCGTTTAGACCCAATCCATTCCAATAGAAAACTTCAAAAATGTCAGAACTTCAGATTGGCCGAGTTGGTTGTTCATGTTGGTCGACGTTGCGGCGACTTTAAAATGTTGTTCTCTCGGTCAGTCGTGTACCCTCCTTGGCCAAATCACAAGAATCGCCTGGATTCCTGTGTCACGTCTAGGCGTGTCGCGAACTGGTGGAGGTTAGAGTTTGACCAAGTTCGGCAAAGGTTCGACTGCTATGTGCATGCGCAACAGGCTGGCCAGTTGGCTTCAGATTGGATGGTGATGGCTAAGGGATGAATTAAGGGCAGCAGTGATTGGTTATTTCAGTTAATACAGTACAAAAAAGTAAGTTATTCAGTTATTTAGTGATTAAAATTAGTTCATTTTAATTGCAACTGTTCATAATATTAAAATGACCCTTTCCATAAAAGAATTTCTCCAAACCTAGACATGCTTTATCAAGGTCTGGCCACACTGTCCACAAAGTCGAAGCGTTCGAATCTGGTTACAGTGTAATACCTGTGCCACACGGGCAACTTGAATGCCATTTACAACGAATGACATTTGTGTGATCGGCGTTTCAGCTCGCAATCTGTCGCGCGTGGAATACGCTGTGCCCGGATTGTCACGCGCTGATTGGCTGTCCGCTCAAATGTCATTCATTGTAAATGGCATTCGAGTTGCCCATGTGGCACGGGTATTTGAACCAAGGAGGTTAGATGGGTAGGAGAGGGCATGACGTCAGCCGCATAGCCTCCACAAGCCATGTTCCCTTGACGCCTCGCCTCTTTCTCATATCCCTCCTCACTTATCAGGCCAACGTGACTACATCACGTGACCGTAGCTAGCCTTCGTCTAGCCTTCGATCTGGAAAAAACCTACCGGACGGAGTGCGCGCAAGCCTGCAGGGAATGCTTCTACAATCAACAATCTATCTCGCACGTGACATGTCACGCGCACCAATTGCCAGAGAGATCTACGGTCACGTTGGCCACAACATCGTTTAAACTTTTTATGATTAGGCTTCACCAATATTGCAATGTGCCCCCTCCTAGTGCTTATAATCTCCTTGGTTAGAACACTAATCTGGTTAAAAGTTGAAGGTTCTCCAAACCCGTTCGACCTAGTCAAACTCCGAAACTTTGACCTAAAAATCCGATTCAACAAAAGTTCGCGACACCCCTAGTCACGTCAACTGCAGCTTTTTGGCAACGTTGAATGATTGCGTGATATTCCAAAGTCCATTTCCCGATCAGGGTTGCCAGGTTGGGCTATTAATAGCCTAATTGGGCTACTTTATAGTTCTTTTGGCTTCGAAATTTGGCGGTTGGCTTTGTGGCCCATTTAAAATCCTAAAGTGTTTTTTTTTTTTGGTTTAGAGTAGATGTACAAAAGGCATTTCAGTATGAATACAAAGCGACAGTCCACCTTTTCCGGATTCCCGCTTTCAGGAATTTTTTTTGTGAATATGCGTAGTCGTGATTTAAGATCCTATTAGCTCCAGCGAGCTAGAGTGACCTAGATTCAGCTTTGAATATTGCTTTTGTATTCATTATGGCTTATCCTCCCAAGTTCTTCCTTCTTCCTACTGGCGTCTTTTATTTTCTCGAGTTTCCCACCAGCCACCTCCGGGGCACCTCTTCCGAGGAAAAATGACACAAAAGGCAACTCAAGACATTAGCTGAATTTGAGGAGGCTTTTCTGCGAAACATGGAAGTTTCTTAAAGCGCAATGAGCCATAACGTTGGATAACAGATTTAGAACAATGAATAATCTGAACAAGACTGTTCGAAGCGCAAGGGCAGCCATGTTTCCGTTGCTATCCCTGTTTGCCATCACGCTCCTGACGCTGCATATCGAATGCCCCCGCGAAGAGAGTATTCAGTCACATGTCTTTCACAAAATCGGACCTAAGAAACAGGATGTCCCTTCCAACTCTTCAAAACATCCTCTACTTAATGTTTGCTTTCCTTGAGAGGAGCGAGTGCTCTAAGGACATCAATCCCACTGAAAAAGTTTTTACGGGCGGGGGTTTCATAACTGTGTAACCGTAAAAACGGGTGTGGAACATTGTCTTTTGTTTAAAATAAAATGTTTGTAATACATTTCAAGATGTCGTAGATGTGGCAAGCTGCTCCTAAACCCTTAGTATGCAGACGCAGGGCCTTCGCCTTGAGATGACACACTGCCGTCGCTTGATGTGTCATCCTCTCAGCGTTGCCGTCGTTTCCTTTCGAGTATTGGTTGGAGTTACATTTTCGGACTTTAGCGCCAGCTTTGTGTTGTAGCAGGGTGATTAGTAGAGCGCGCTGTCGAACAAAGTTCCCGTTGCTCTCGGACAGGGGGCGCGAGCGCGTCCGCAAGACGCGACCATGTTATGCTGGCAGCACTATCCAGGTGGCGCTGTAACGTTCGATTTTGCACGTGCCACGTTCGAATGCAAGCATCTGTCATCATCTGTAGGCGCGCGATAACAAAAAGTCTAAAAAAATATAATAAAAACGAATTATGCAGCTCGCGGCCTCGGCGTCCCAATCAGCTTTATTATTTCATTGCGTTCTTTCATAGCTTCTGTGAGCCCGTATGTTTCAATTTACATGATAGCGAAGCCGAAGCTACTTGCAAAGACATGTTCCACTGAGCGATGCTGGCACTGCACGAGCGCGCGTGCTTGGAAGGGACACTGCAAGCTCGGAGCTCGCTCTTGTAGCCTCTGCTACGCTGGCACTTATAATGCAACGGAGTATAAAAAAACTGTAGTGGGGAAGCGTGACGACGCACGTTCGAAACGCGAGCCAAATATTCGATTGTGCTCGCCTGGAGCGCTGCTCAAAACTTGAGAGCTACGGGCCTCGACTAGGCGTGTCTGACGTCGACTACTGCGGTATTGCTACTGCTCGCCGACGCTCAAGGGTACGTCGTTCAAAACGTACCACATTACCCCGAAACCGAAACTAATGCGACACATGCAACACATTTCAAACAAAGTTCTTTAGTTAATATTATTAGTAAGTGTACGGGATGTGAATATAAAACTAAAGGCTTTGACGTTAGAGAGTACTATATTAATAAAACAATTACTTTATGAGCTGTGTTTGGATCCAATCCAATCCAATAGAGCCTTCGAAAATGTCTATCTTTGTAGCACCCGCATCACAAGGGTCGCCTAGATCCCCGAGTCACGTAAATTGGAACCTTTTTGGCAACGTTGAATGATTGTGTGATGTTCAGAAGTTAGCTTCCAGGTCTGTGTAGCGTGGTGACCAGCATTGGATGCAGGTACATTATTTGTCGTGACACGTTAGCCATGTTAGCCGGCGTCTCTCGTTTTCAGATTGGAGTCGCTTGGCGCTCTATCCTGTGTCATAAATATAAGCTAAGAATGCGTGTTGTTCGCGTGGCAACCACGTCGGTCGGCAGCGAGCTCCAGTTGCGTCAGCGTTAAGTGAGTAAGTGAAGCACCGTCTTCGTCGTTTGCTTTCTGCAAGAACCCAACTTCAACGTGATTTACCTCTGCCATTCGGTTGGTGTTGTGGTCCGAAAGGTGTCGTTGACTGGTAATCTTACACCCTTAAAACGATGCTTCTGACCAAATTTTGAGCGTAAAGGACTGGCAGAAACCTTTTGCGATTTTGAGCACCTGGCCCAAGGAGGTTAGAAGTACTAGGAGGGGGCACGTTGCGATATTGGTGAAGCCTAGTCATAAAAAGTTTAAACGATTTTGTGCCCAGCGTGACCGCAGGGGTGCTATGTTGCGCTTTTTGCACTCCCAGGAGACTTGGAAGAGGGAAGTGACGTCAACGACTAGAGCAAACGCAGATTGGATGTTGACAGAAGAAAACAAAATCAACACCCAATCTGCATTTGCTGCGTTGTAGACGTCACTTCCCTCTCCCTAGTCTCCTGGGAGTGCAAAAAGCGCAACATAGCCCCCCAGATCTCTCTGGCGATTGGTGCGCGTGACATGTCACGTGTGAGATGGATGGTTGATTGTAGAAGGACTCCTTGCAGGCTTGCGCGCGCTCCGTCCGGTAGGTTTTATCAGGTCGAAGTCTTGAGTGTGGTGTATTCTACTACCCCGCAGCAAGACGAAGTCTAGCTACGGTCACGTGATGTGGTCACGTTGGCATGGTAAGTGAGGAGAGTAAGGAGGAAAATGAGAAAGAGGCGAGGCGTCAAGGGAGCATGGCTTGTGGAGGCTACGCGGCCGACGTCATGCCCTCTCCTACCCTTCTATTCTCCATGACCTGGCCTTTGCAGTGTTTCGGCCAGTTGCGAAGTGTTGAGGCCATTGCATGATTTGCAGAGATGCAAAGAACCTTTATTCCCCCAGCAAGATGAAGTGGCACATTTTGAGTGTTCCAAGACAAGTACTTTGGGAAGAAGAACCAACCATGGAAGGGCATAATTCAACAAGTGCGGGCATATATATATATTTTCGGAAGTTCAGTGTTTTGTGCAAAACCCATTTCATAGCATGCGACTGTCTTGTGTATGGCCGGGTCCGGCGGCTCTCACGACGTTCTCCTCGGGGCCAAACACGCAGCAGTAGGGTAGGTTCCTACCAGGGGTGTCGGAACTGGGAAAACAGAGTGGGAAAGGTTACCCCCCCCCCCTTAACCCATCTTCCAAACAGCTCCGACAGCTCTGGTTTGTACGATTTGCTAAAAATGAACTAAACATACCAGCACACATTGCTTAAATGCAACCCAAATAATAGGCTAAAATGTTTCTCTCTTTTTTTTTTTTTTTCGAAGTTGTGGAATTTTAATTTTGATCCTTAACATATTTTGTCAAACTAAAAGTCTCTACTAACAACAATGAAAAAAAAAAAAAAAAAAAAAAAAAAAAAAAAAAAAAAAACCAGGTTAGAGCAGGGCAACTTGGGATTTCATCTGACGTATATGGAGGGAGGGAGTAAAGTAAACGAAGTTGTACCTGGACTACGACATCATACTTATAGCAGATAGCTGGGAAATATTGGACAAACTAATTGGGATATGTGGAGGAGAGGGCGACAAGCTTGATCTGATTTTCAGTAGAGAAAAATCTGGAGTTATCGTTTTTAATGATGAAAAGGGGGAGCCGCTGAGAATTCAGAACTTTGAAATAGACTATGTAGATAAGTACAGATATCTGGGGGTCTGGATGAAACAGGAAAAGAAATATTTGGAGGAACATGAGGAAAATATAATAAAAAAGGGGAAAAGAAATTTGGCTATCACGAAGCATAGAGCACTATGGAATTATAATAGATGTGAAGTAGTTTGAGGCATTTGGAAAGGAATGGTGCCAGGTTTGTCGTTTGGTAATGCAGTGTTGTGCATGCGATCAGAGGTTCAGACAGGATTGGAGGTCAGACAGAGAAGTGTAGGCAGGTTGGCACTGGGTGCGCTTGGGAACACACCAAATGAAGGGGTACAAGGGGACATGGGCTGGTCGTCTTTTGAGAGTAGAGAGGCTATCAGCAAATTGAAATTCGATCAGACTAACAAAAATGGAGGACGTACGATGGGCGAGGAAGGTGTACACGTATTTATACATGAAGAGTTTGAATACAAAATGGACGAACCGAACGAGAAAACTAAAATTTAAATATCTGTCATCTAGGGAGGAGACTGAGCGGAACACATCGATAAAAAAGGGCGTAAAAGAAGCCGAAAAGAAAATGTGGAGTGGTGGGATGCAAGGAAAATCAGCTTTAACAATTTATAGGTCACATAAGCAGGAAATAAGAAAAGAACAGGTTTTTGATAATTCACAGGGTAGTTCCCTACTATTTGAGGCTAGAACAGGGGTTTTAAGAACCAAAACATATAGGGCTAAATTCGAGAAAATGGACACATTATGTGCCGTTTGCCAAAATGAGAATGAAATAATGGAACATCTTGTTTTAGAATGCAGGAGGCTTCGTCCTGTTCTCCCGGGCGGGTCGACGGATTTGGCGGGGGCACTCGGTTTTGCGGACGAGGATGGGAGAATGGAGAAAAAAAGGGTTACCATAACAAAAAGGAGATTGGAACTCTGGTGGATGCAGTTTAGGGAAAATGAAACAAGGACGAACAATTAGCACAGCTGGGGTCAGGAGGGACAGAGGAATATTGGGGCTCCCTCCCGCGTAACTCCGGCCCAAAGTCTCACACCTGTCCCCCAGTGGGTGTGGTTTAAGGAGGAACACCAACGAAGTTGACCAGAGGAAAATTGGCGACTCCCTCGCCCGGGGGAGGAGGCGGGGGGCGGTGTTTAATTTTTTTTTGCCCGATCGCCCAGAGGTCTTCCTGGAAAGTACTCTACCTGCCCGGTGATAGTTGCAGAAAGGTAAAAAAAAAAAAGAAAGAAAAAGTTTTTTTTTTTTTTTTTCTAATGAATTAATTTAAGGCTAGGTGGCACAAGCTACCGCCCTGTATAAAGGGAACAGCCATTATTCATCCATTTGTCCATCGACAGTGGCAGGCAGGGTTTCACTCTCAGGCGATAGAATTTGTTTTCATCTGATTACGAGGAGTTTGATTCCGTCAAAGGAATGCTTTGGAAGTTCGCTCCAGCACTTGCACAGCAGCACAAAACAAATGTGCTGCATGCTTTGCGTGATAAGGGCTCAAATGGGAGAGGGCATGCGTGCCCGTACCTTTGACTGCATTGCCAAGAAAAGTTGTCCCCAAGAATAGACTGGCTGCTGGACCTTGGAGCCCGCCTGCCAGTGAAGTCGCTGCACCAAAAAGCTTGAGTGTATGTGGACGTTGGTTATGACATTACCTTCAGTTGCCAATTTTACAATTATTTTAAATTTGGATATACTTAAGAGCATGCCAAAAAGGTTAAATGCCAGGTATCCTGAACATATAGTTAGTTTGGTTGGTTCAAAAAAATTGCCCAAGTATGCTTTTAATCAATGGTCATGCTTGCGGCACCATCTCCCAATCAATGCAGCAAGCGAGCAACTCTATCGGCAGCTTTCGACTGAGAGCTTGTCTCGTCCATAGGGAGATGGCACCACATGCACCACTCTCGGGCAACTCGGTCGCCTTTGTCAGAGCTCACCATTGAAAATATTAAACCTTTGGGGTCATCTGTTGGATATCTACCGACAAATATATTCCTGTTCTGGGAAAGTGTCGGGGCTCCCCGGACAAGCCTATTTCTCCTTTGCGGTCAAGCGTCGGGTGCCTCCTGACAATTTCAACTTCCGCCATCTCTTATTGGGTATGTACAGTCGGGGACAAAAGTCTCCAGGACGCCCTAACTGCGACTGAAACGCATTGCTCTGCCATCTGACGGCGGGTCGCCTGGTTTCAAGATCACACAGAAGCGCATGCGCGTCCTGCTGTGTCTGCAAACATGCAAGTTTTCCCGCTCTTCTGCGGCGCGGCACATAACTCGGAATCGGGCGCGTGGTACCGCCTCGGAGATAGCGCTTGCGGCTGACGGCAATCTGCTACACATTCCGAAACTGGAGATACCGCTTGCGGCATTACGCTGCATTTCGCCGTGTCAGCACATCTTGCTTTATAACCAGTTGAGCTGCCGTGACTTTCTGCTTTATAGGTGCAATGTCAGTAAGCGCGCCCGATTCCGAGTTGGGCGCCGTGCCGCAGAAGAGCGGGAAAACACATGTTTGCAGGCGCAGTAGGACGCACATGCTTTTCTGTGTGATCTCGAGACCAGGCGACACGCCGCCAGATGGCAGAGCAATGCGTTTCAGTCGCAGCTTGCGCGTCCTGGGGACATTTGTCCCCGACTGTACACTATGCATACTTAGTCTTTTATCCCTCTAACAAATGCAGTAAAAAACAAACAAAAAAACTTAGATGGATGCACTGGCATTTTGCTTATGCTTTTGGGTGTTTAAGATGGCAGCCTTTACTTCGTCTGCGTTTTACAAACATTGCAGTCTGGAGATTGTGCAGTCAGCAGTGACTGCAAAGTAAATGAGCTCAGACATGAAAAATGTTTTCTACCGTAAAACCTGCGCTCGACACCCTGACTTGCACCTCAACATTTGTTTCAAAAAGTATTGTATGCCGTGCATATACCACTAGTATAGTTGGTATAGTTCAATAATTCAAATGAAAACATTATTTACAGTGCATAGTTACTTCAAGCTGATAATATCGATAATAGTATATTCAGGAGTTGAATTTGAAGTCGCTCATTGATCTGATCTTTTTTCGCTTAAATTCATTGAGACTAGAGAGGCCTACGAGTGGAAAACTCGCGTGACTCCAGAAGGAGGATGTTTTAGCTTTTTGCGGGAACAGAGCTATGCCTTGGCAATTTCGTGAGGCAAAGTCCATTGTTGAGGTACATCTTTGACAATCATTTGAGCCCACCACCTGCAGGCACGGTGGCTGGGACGAGTTTTCAACCGGTGTGTTTGCCGCGACCGAAAAAGTTGTCTACTAATTTCTGCCTGACGACTTGGTAAGTGTCATGTCGTCGCCAGCCACGATCCTGGCCGCGTTGCGTGCGGCGGATGTCGCAGACGTCCATTCTACCACAGGTCGGTTCCTAGCTTAACGTTCCGCTGAAGCTTCGGCAGTCAAGAGTTGGAACGTCGCGACGACAGCGACGCGCACATTCTCTCCTGCTTTTTTCCAGAATTTCTACGCCTTACCGACAGGATCACGACGCCCGACAGCGAGACACTGCGGCTTCCGTGACGTTGTTTGTTGCCACCTCGGGACCGCCTTCGATGCATGGGCAGAATGAGACGCTAAACACACCGTAGTGCAGGTGCCAATTTTTCCCAACTCGCCTTACAGCCCCGTATGTAGGCCGCATCAATTCCAGTTGCGTCCTCATTATGACTCTCTTGCCAGTAGATTGAGCCTTTGTAAGGAGGCTTGCCCCGGAACTAATGGAACTGCCATGCCGACCGTCTTCCGGAAGTCCAGGATACGTCGATGTCGAGACCGGATCGGTGAAGGCTCTGTGTGAGCCGCCGTTTCTGACTTCCAATTCGTGGAATTTATTTAGAATATGGTGTTGAACACCGCGTGATGTTTCGTTGTCGTACGTTTTTATTTAAATTTTATTATTTTCTAAAACGACAATGTGCCTCGGGTAGAAAGTTATTTCTCAAATATTTTGAGTTTTCATGTCGTTGCGCGTGACTAACGAAAAGGAGAGGAAGCAACCCTCAACAGCTGGTTTTTGATGGATAGTTACGGTGGTGCTGTGAAGACACTTTCAAAGGCTTAAATTGAGAGGATGAAATCCTAAACGCTTTGGAGGATAAAATCTATAAAATCACATCAATCATACTCTCTAGCTCATCCCTAAAAGTGGGGCATATATAAATGATGTCTCTAGTAGACCTACTTCTACTATGCAAACTACTAGAGGCATGGCACGTGTGCCAGGGTGGCCAGTAAGGGTATGCACTAACTTTCCCTGTTTGTTATATTGGTCTCGCTGGTCAGCTGAGGATATTGCTTGTTTTTGTGCTTTTCATGTAGACTGCAAATTAAGTCACATTTTTCTTTGCCACTTGAAACCTAATAAATTCTGAATTTGTACTTGCAGGTCGATTTCTTCAGTATTTTTTCCAAAGAAAATCTGGCTAACCCTGCATTGCTGTCTCAAAGAACAGCTCCCGCCTGTCTAGCCGACTCTGGCTAGCTTTGGTTCTTCGCACAGCGCCCTTATTCGTACTACTCACGCCAAGTCATTGGGCCACATTTGAAGTTGCTGGGTGTTGACCAATTGGTAGTTTAGATAGTTTATTTACTTTTGTTTACTCAACTGCCAGGGTGCAGCAGCCATGTTATGGCTTTTCTTGCTCTCTCTACAGAGTTGCATCTCTTCTGATCGGTTTTGTATCGTAATCGGTCTTTTCTTTATGTTCACAGGTATGTTCATTCTGCCCCTAACCCTTAACCCTTTAAGTGCCGGGGTGTTTTTCCGTATGCCAAACACAAATTTTGGTCTTGGTAGCACTGTAGCATGCTTTGTCAAGAATATTTATTTATCAAAGATGCATAGCTCTATGGGCAAAAATTCTGCATGCCGTCAAACTAGGAGAATTTTTCTAGTATATTGTATTGCTCGGGGCATCGCACCTTGACTTCGCCCCCTGGGCCGGTTTTCTCGAAGTGATGGTAAACCCATTTTGGTAAACCACGGTGCCTAGGAAGGAAAAAGTACCTAGGTACTGTAATAAACTGCTGGATATAGAACAACAATAATAATTTTTGATTGGGCAGTAAGATACGCCATCTATCGGTGAAACAAGCCAGTCATTTTGTTCACCATCTTTTTCCGCTGGTTGTTATCGATCTAGTATGGTATTTTAAGTCAAAATATAGTAATGTTGTACTTGAAGACCAATTTATTTGCTTCAGATGGTACGAAGAAAGTTTAGCTACTATGCTAGCGTTTGCCGACGAATATTCGAAAATGTAAGAAACATTTCCTTCGATATGTTTCGCCATAAACAACGCATAACTTTCCCGTGTGCCTTCCAGTCTGGCAACGCCGGTGCTGTAGTCTCGTTTTTGTTCCTTGCGACGCACGTTTCTGCGATTCTTGCTGATCTCAACTGTTTACCCCCTTTTCCTTTTGCCCAACCGATCCACCGGTGACGAGGAGCTAAGGTTCTCGTCACCGTTGAATAGCTGGCCACCGGGGATATGTAGAAACCTCGATGCTGCCGGCATGCTGTCGGCGCACTGCGAACAAAAAAACAGTACAATGTCCCAGCTGTTCACCCGGAACGAAGGCTTTATCAAGGACAACCCCTTTCTTCGCAAAGTAATCGCTGGTCACGAGTTAACGTGCATAGTGTAACAAATTAAACGTGTTAGTATAAATATATACCAACACTCGTTCGCAAAACATTTTTTCACTCACCATAAAAACATTTGCGAGGCTTATGTACCATCATATGTCTTGGATCCCGGACTGCCGAAGAGTGATGCGTTCGCGGAATGCTGCCGTCGGTTAGTTTAGTAGTCCCTCTGAACTACCGCTTTGCTTGACATGCTAATAGGTTGATGGTGCGTCATTAATATACCAGCCGGATCGAAATGAATATTCAGCAGAACCAAGAAGAACAATTAGCCCTCATTAAGCGACGTCGCGGCCATTTTGCTTGTAGGTACAGCTCCTCCCTCGGCGTCCCTAGTCTCTCAGTCATTCCCTCTTCTAGGGACAATAGTCAACTTTAAACCACTGTTTGCGTTCGAGAAAATGGGCCCTGACGTCACTCTTTCGAGTAGCCCTACTAAGCCTTTTTTTTTTAATTTGAAACTAATTTTGTTTTGTTTTCACAATCATGGAAGATCGAGTTCATTAGTCAAATGGCTAAGTTGGCTAGATGGTACATGTTTAACTGGAAAAGTGCCTAAAAATATATGGACATGAGAAAGAAGAGACAGGGCCAAGTGCCTATTCATTAGTCATTTTTCGATCTCACTGTTTGCCGTGAAGTCCGAGATTAAAATACTTAGATTCATTCTTGTGTAACACCGAAGAAGCACACCGAAGCAAAAGTCTCCTAAGCAAACATTTTTACTTGCCGTCAAAAAGTGACACTACAACATAGTTTTCACCGCTTGCTCATAAATAATGCTACACGTGAAAAAAGTTGAGAGCCCAGTTAAGAGTGAAAAGGAGCAAACTGAAACTGCAACCACATGGGAGTGCACCCGAGTATACTCGGGCGTGGCACTCGAAGGGTTAAACAAGGAATGTGCTTAATTGTTTTGCATTATTATCATTTGATACATTTTTATTGTTCATTGTATGTTGAATTTCACTATTGTACTGAGTGGTGGTATTTTTTTCTCTATTGATGCTTTATGGTCTCTACCACTTTTTGTGTGTAACTATTCTATAGTGAGTTTGACATGTGTGTGTTTAATGTTTTTATTAATACATAAGCCTGGACTCTTCCAGTACAAAGTGGTTTGCTGCAATGGTCTTTAAATGTGCACTTATATTGTGTGTCATACTGCTGCATTGAGAACTATCATAAGAAACTCTTTCTTGTCCCTGTACTCATTTGTAAATCTTGCTGGTAAATGTGAGTGCACATTGTCTCAAATAAAATCTGCCAAAAGCCTCATCACTGCCTCGGTGGAGGCGGCTCCACGAACCCGGTCAGCTTTGGGGACCACCAGTATTGTCTCAAGCATCCATGTCTTCTTTGCCTGTGCGACATTATTGAAATCGAGTGTGGGCCAGGTATAGAAATTACCGCACAGCCAAACTACCAACACTGGGTCCAGTTTGCTTGTGCTGTGTTCAAGTGAATAATACTAGTGCGATGCTGTTATTTTGCAACAGTGACATTTGCTCCATAATTGCATTGAAGGCTGAAAGATTCCAGAACTCTGATTGCATTTTTTCAGTGCAAAGAGTGCTTCTTTTTTTGAGCAGTGCATGATTTAGCATTATTATCTTCTCTCGTATTGGTGAAGCGATGTCTGCTCCGAGTGTAGGGTGGGATATTGCACAGCAAATTGTCATAAAATAGATGGGGAGTATAACGTGTCCTGCAATGAAGCTACACCCACTGCATTAGTTTTAATACTAGCTCGCTGGTTGAGCCATTTGCGAACTGCAAATAGAAACTTGGCAATGTTCATAGTCGATTCCTAGTTATAAAAGCTATAGCTAGAAAATGTTAACCTGTAAGTTATACTGGTAAGTGGTTATAGAAATGCAGCTACTTTATTTACACGAAATAGTGTATAGTGTGTCCCTCAAACATGTTGCCGCATGAGCCTGTGGTCAGCAAATGCCTCACTGTGTGGGGAGTGCCGTACTGCGTGAGTGACTAGAACACTCCGGTTTTCCTACAGTAACTACAGCTTTTATGAAAGGGTTAGTGCCAGTATATTTGAGGAAATTGCCGTTTCTAATCTCACGGCCACTTTTCGCTACTGCCCCATTGATGTCTGGGGTGATCTTTATCAGTGTTAAGATCTGAGAGTAAATTTTGGTTGGCGAAACTAAGAGCCTGATAAGCCTATTCTGACTTGGCATGCCTCCCCCACAGGGCCTGCTGCTAGAGCCATTGAGGACGAAATAGAGGGCTTCAGCTGCTGGGACACTAGGAGCAAGCAGTTTTCTCGAGAAGTTGGACGGCAGCAGATATGCCAGCAATCGGAAGACAGGCACCGTTGCTCCTTGCCTCGCTCAAGCTATGGCCCATTGCACATTGCCAATCATAAAAGAACACACACGGGAGACTGGCCTTTCAGCTCTTACATCTGCCAGGAGGCCTTGAGAACCGAGACTGAGCTGCAGATTCACGAACGGATTGACGCAAAAGAAAGGACATTCAGGTGCCAGACTTGCCAAAAAGCATTTGCACATAAGTGTCACTTGGATCGTCACGAACGGGTCCACACAGGGGAAAAGCCATACAAGTGCAGCACATGCACAAAAGCATTTGGAATTCTCTCTAACTGGAAGCGTCACGAAAGACTTCATAGGGGAGAGCGACCATTCAGGTGTGAGGTGTGTCGAAAAGCATTCACGCAGAAGTCTCATTTAAACAAGCATCAAAAGAGGTGCCACCCGTGAGGGATGTGCATCATCTGATGTCTGCGGAGATGTCCTTCACGTAAGACTCCTACAAAGGTTCACCGTTGGTCTTGAAATTTTCCAGTGAACCTAGAGGTGCTTTATTTGTATTTTGGAGTTAGGTAGATGTTTGCAGCATTCCTTATGTGCATATTTCCTCATAAGTAAAGGAGGCTGGGGTTTTGCAGAGGAACCCTTGCTGTTATGCGTGCAAATACTTGTAAGTACTTTTAGCATACACTAAAAGTACTGCCAGTTCCATTTTTACTTCCAGTGACAGATACGACAGTGAAATAATAATTTTCTATGTAACCAGTGGTTGCAATACAGTGCCTGGAATAACCATCATGCTATAGTAAGTTACAACTCAAAGCGGTAGGCCGAGGGAAAGGAAGGCGGGGGAGGGAGAAGCAGATGGAACACGTGAGAGGTAAGGGGGAAACCTTCAAGTCATTCCAGCATTTCATCTGCTTTCTCCTCCCCGGCCTTCCTTTCTCTCGCCCTACCTTCCTGAGTTTCAACGGACTACAGCGAAACCCGTTTAGAAGGAACCCACGTACAGCGAATTATTGTCGATATCAAACACGAAAAATTTAAATAAAAATGCATAGAAAAGTACTTTTTATAACGAACAACATATTGGCTATATCGAACTTTCCCCCCCGGGAAGGCTTCCAAAAACGCACGAACAATCGTCTTCTAGCTTGTCCCTTCCCCCTGCCCCCCTCCTCCCCCCCCCCCCCAAAAAAAAAAAAGTAGGAAAGAAAGAAAATTCCAAAAGCTCAATTTGCGAACAAAATTGAGCAAAGAGAAGCGATTCAGAAGAGGTGAGAAAGCTAAAAAATGCCCTGCACGCACGCTCAGAAAAAAAAAAAAAAAAAAAAATCTTTTCATCTTAAAATTGTTGCCCACGATTCAGAAGGGGAGACAAGCTAAAATAAATAACTCTGCATGCATGCAAAAAAAAAAAAAAAAAAAAAAAAAAAAAAACTTTAGCGCATTGTTACAAGGCGTAAGCGAAGAGATGAGAAAGAAAGAGGCTCTCTCTTTAAAACTAACGCACCGTGAAAGTTTGTTGTAAATGGTTTTTGCTATATCGAATTACTTGCTACATCGTTATAAACGGGTTTGACTGTATTCGCGTCTCCAGCTCGACGCTCGCCCTCCCGTGGCGGAAACGGGAACTGCTCTAGTGAGGGTCCCCCGATTCTCCTGCTCAGCGGGCACGGCGGAACTGCTCGCGATCATGGCTCGCGAAACGTCGTTTCCGAATGCAAACAACACTCTTCACTGTCCCAACGTAGTGCTGCAGCCGGTATGGGATTGTACCTTACTGGAGAGTTTTAGTATTGCGCATAGAAGCAAACGCAAGCGGTGTGCGTTTGCGTTAGAGTTGCGTGCCTCACGTTGTGCGTGCGCCTCATTGCCATGCACCATCCAAGACCGCAATTTCGGGCTCCGCGCACGCGCAGTGTGGAACACGCAAAGCTAACACAAACACACAGGGCTTGAGTTCGCTCGTATACGCAATATTAAAACTCTACTGTTTCACCGGCTTCCAACGCCAATGGAACGTGCTGCAGTGAGCAGACGTGCAAGCAGGTAGGC